ATCACACTCACCATAAACGTAAGTATTCAAGGTCATCACACTCACCATAAACGTAAGTATTCAAGGTCATCACACTCACCATAAACGTAAGTATTCAAGGTCATAACACTCACCATAAACGTAAGTATTCAAGGTCATCACACTCACCATAAACGTAAGTATTCAAGGCCATAACATGTAAGTATCCAAGATCATAACATGAATGAAAAGTAATCCTAAATCGATTAAAGTATTTAAGTTCATCACAATTACTAAGTACGCAAGTACACAAAGATCATCATGGAACAATATCATTTATTGAGGCATTGAAACACAGCCACGTTAAAAAAGCAGTCATGGTAGAAAACAGGATCATGGCAGAAAGCGATATCATGGTAAATAGCAAGGCCATGGTAAAAACATGGTCATAGTGGAAAGAGCAATTTTCACAACATTCTGTAGCAGTTGAAAATAGACAATACACCGAATCCGATCGATACTTTTTGATTTTGTTTTTGTGCGACATGGCGGGTCTTACTCGTCTTGCATGTATCTCGATATTGTCAAGACATCTTTCAACAATCCAGTCAAAGTTAGGTTGAACATTTTGAGTTTCGGTGATGTCGTCTTTTTTTAATCTTGTCATATTTAAAATCTTCATACCATAAATCAATTCTTTCTGAGATTTTATGGAAAAATGTCTTGTACAAAAATGTTTGTTCGATTTCCAGTTCCCAATTTGATATCACCTGTTCATGAAAGTCGTTGTTTTATATGCATATTCCATGCTTCTTTAAAATTTATTCTAGTGTACTAATTGCCGGTCGTCTAAATAATCATCCCCTTTTTGTTATCGGTCTTGCAATTATTATGAAATTACTTATGGGCATCTTAAAATAAAATACCATATGGTTGTCCAGGAAAGAGGAAAACCTGGAAAAATGTGCATTTTTAAATAGTGAAGTTGTTATTAACTTTCTTGTTGAAATAGGATCCCATGATTTACAAACATGTCAATCTCATATCACACACACTGACTGTTTTGACTAATTTTCTTACATTTGACCCCCGTATTAATAAACTATTAACATTGAAGAAACGAAACACTTTGCAATATTAAAAAAAATAAGCACGAAATCTTATGATGATACAAACTACCTGCTAAACGCTATATACTCACTTCGAAATCCTTTTTTTCCAGTCATTTGAGACAGAGGAGGGAGACGATTGCGAATACGATTTTCTTCGCATTTTTGGCGGAACTGTAAAGAAACGTTTGTGTGGATTCGTGTACCCAGAACACATCACAAGTTCCGGTAACGTTTTCAACATCCGTTTTGTGACGGATGAAGGCATCGGAGGATTTGGTTTCAATATAACCTACGACTTCCACAATCCAATACGTAAGTGACCTTGGGGGATGATGTCTATACGAGTTTTATACTTTTGAAACGTTGTTCCATGGGTTTATCAATTCATCACTTCAACACAATCTGTAGATGTACGTCACTTTTATACTATTTTTTTATCAGTTGGATTTTCACTGATTATTAGAAACTAGATTCATTAAAGAATAAAACGTCCGTTTATAGTTTAGGTGTTCCAGATACGAATCCCGTTTAAATCTAATAAATATAAATAAATAGATTTTTTTGTTTTTTAATTTTGGGTTAAACGTCATCGCAACAGCCAGCTTCATATGAAGCAGAAAAGAAATCAACAAATAAATAATAAAGAAATACAGTTAAGTGACAATTGGATTTTCCAATAGTAGAATTCCATGTATAACGGAACATTATCAAAAAATGGTTTCTTTCCCAATTCCGTAAATGTAAAATGCTATCGTCGGGAGTTTTTTTGTGCAAAACGTCAATGAAAACTGAAACAGAAATGTAACAGACGGGTTCTGGTCGAATTCTAGTACACATACATACACTCAGACTTGTCTGGTTGACGTCGATCGTGTGACAGGATGAAGATAAAATAGGATAATGTTGTACACCCGCGGTAGTCGGTAAAGTCAGTGCTGTCTGCTTTGTTTTCCAGCTGATTGTCCCAATGCTGATGACTTCAGGTGTAACGACAACTCGTGTATTCGAGCCAGTCAAGTATGTAACGGTCACGATGATTGTCCAGGAGGGACGGAGGAAGTTGTATGTGGTGAGTGGATTTTTAATATTGAAATTGTGGTATTGGTTAATAGAAGTAAACAGTTTTCTTAATGTTTTGAAACATGCAAATGACAGATGACTTTACTTGTATTTCATATGCAAAAACTAATTTTTAAATCGTTTGTTTGAGGTATTATTAACAACTGTTGTCATATCGAAATGTTACTTGATACACAAACACTGTACGCATTAAACGTGTCGCAACATTTCAAGATCGACTAATCCTTTTGTTACGCTATGAATTGTGTGTGTATTAAGTAAAACTTCGATATTACATTTGCCCAAACTGAAGAATCTTATTCTGTCTTTGCGTATTGCAGAGTTATCTTCTCTTGGTAGCAGGGATTGATTGTTACGTCACTTGTTTGTGAGAGTAACGTCATCAATTTTTGAGAAAACGACGTAATTTTCTCACAAAAACCAATGACGTAACAATCAATACCTGCTCCCAAGAGAAGATAACTCTGCAATACGCAAAGACGGATTTGAAGAACCTGTTGTCATATATCAACGGTTCCCCAATATTCATAAGCAATACACATTCCTATTATATCTGTATATTTCTGAAGTAATCTATCACGTAATGTATTATGTATTGGCGATGTGTTATTTCGTTTTTGGTTTTTTTAAATAAATTCAATTCGTGTATTTATTTATCACCTGGCGGTACTTCTAACAAGACATTTTACCTAGCATGGATTTTTTAATCGGATGTAAAAAACGAAAGCAGTAGACATGGTATCTAACTTCATTAAACGATATATGATTTACTGACATTGATGAACTTTCCAAAAATTGTTAACTGTTTTATTACAGGGAACGTCGCCACGTGCGGAATTCCCGCCATTAAGCCAGCTACTGGGAACACGAAAATTGTCGGTGGAAAGGTGGCTATTCCAAACAGTTTACCTTGGCAGGTGTCTCTCCGGTTTTTAGGAACACACATGTGCGGGGGGACCCTGATTGCTCCCCAGTGGGTTGCAACAGCGTCTCATTGTTTTGAAGAGTACGTCGATAATTAATACTTCACGGTTGTATCATCACGATACTCCAGGGGTAACGCTTACTTTGTAGATTTGATGTAGATCAAAATAATCTCGCAGTCAGATAACTGTTCAATTGACGGGCTTTGGAGTTGGGTATCGCTCTTCTGTAATCTTCAAAGGACAAGTATGGGTATATCTATTTGAGCCAATGGCGATCTAAGTTTAACTAATCAAGCATTCGTGAATATATCAATGTCAAAGAAAAGTATGTGCAATATGTATTTAAATAAATAAATGTTGTTTTAATAATTAAACACGTCATGTGGTATTCATTTGCAGGAATAGAAATCATAAGGACTGGAAAATTTACGCGGGAAAACAGCACGAGAAGAAGGATGATCCGCATCAACAGCTTCGTGACGTAGTCCGAGTCCTCATGCATGACCAATACAACGCAGCCGCCATTGACAATGACATTACACTGCTGAAGGTAGACCCACCCTTTACGATCAACGATTATGTCAGTGCGGCTTGCTTGCCGACGGAAACAGCCCCGGATGGAATGGATTGTATGTCGTCTGGATGGGGGGACACTAAGGGTAAGAATATGTCCCAAACAACGTTTGCTGTAAGAAACCAATAAGACTTGTTCATACAATGTCAGGCATCCGTTTTACTTCTATTCCTTAACTCCATGCCGGCTATCAAAGGGTTGTCGTTTCAACCGTTGTAGCAATCACTAATCTGATATTCCAAAACTTAAATATATCTATGAAACGTATCAACGATCATGACTACCATGCATTAAACGTTGTATTATGTAATGCTAATGTTAGGTCTAATACCGGATTTGACATAGTTGCTCTGTAGCCAATTTTGAAATTTACATTATGAGATTGTTGTAAATTTAAATTTCATTCATTTATCAACATATTCAAAGACATACACTGACATGTTATTTTCTCTAGGAACTGGCGGTGAAGGTATATTAAAACAAGTGACACTTCCGGTGGTGAATTTACAGAAATGTAACGGATCTGACCTATTAGATGGTGAAGTCACAGCCAATATGATCTGCGCGGGATTAGACGCCGGTGGACACGACACCTGCCAGGTACAAGACTTTGAGTTCGAAGGTTATGCAAAAAAAATAGTTAAACCCATCCTCGGTATTCACTTCCGCTCTCTGCTCCCTGGAATTATGTCATAGCAAAATCGAAGGCTTGCGGCTAGCTAATTGATTGGTCTCACGTGAAAAACAGACCATTCGCTAGGTTGATACCTGTCCTTCGAAGGTTAGAGATGAGCGACACCCGAAATCAAAGCCAGTTAATTTTACAGTTACGCGACCGTGAGATTCTTTTGATGTACTTTCAAAGGATTAAACTAGTCGTCTCGTCTCATCCACAATTCGGTCATACTGAGCCTTCAATTTGCTATGACATAGTCCAGGTGTCCAGAGAGCGACCCTTGGACAATCGAGGATGAGTTAAACCATACTGCTTGAACTTCACTTCTGTCTTGAGAATCCTACATATCTTTAAACAATTTACACATGTTTGTGTATATGAAATGCAATATTATATCTGACTATGTTTGGGCGTCTCAAGGTAAAATGATATTTGCGAGCAACTCATGGTTGGTTGTATATCTGCTACAGGGTGACAGCGGTGGACCGTTTATATGTAAGCTGAGCGGGAAATGGCAGCTCGAAGGAATTGTATCCTGGGGATATGGGTGTGCCGGTAAGTAACAGTATTTGAACAAAAGTGTGTCTACCAGACGTAAAGAAGAAGATCACATGCTTTGTTCTCGCCATCCACGAGCGTTACAAAGTAAAATAGAAGGGAAGCCAACTATAGGCGTATGCAGGTTTATTGGTATAAGCAAATTGTATTAAAGGTTAATATTCTTTGCTGAGTTATCACCAAGGCCTACCCCTTCATATTCAATGGATTTTTAGAATTTTGTTGTCATGTTTCTTCTGAAGTCAATAGTGATGCTTTTGAAACGAAGTGCACAACCTATAAGCGAGTTATCCATTTTTTCTCATCATATGTTTAGTTCTCTTTGTTGAGTTCATGTATATGAATCATCCGGTCCGTCCGTTCATGAGCCTTGTGAGCGCAACTCCTCCTAAACTGTTTGTCGGATTTATTTTTATAATTTGACACAATGAAAGTACATCATATGTACATGTTCATGAAGAAAGAAATTTTCGATTCGACTCCTGTCTTGTCTTGAAATTTGAATTTCTTTTCCAGAAATCTTTTAAGCGCAACTCCTAGTTCAATGTTTGTTTCATTTTATCGTAACTTGACAGAGTGAAAATACATCATATTTAGATGTGCAGGAATGAACGAATTTGCGATTTCAATATATTTCCCGGAGTTATAGCCCCTGAAACTTTAATTTCTGTTCAGAAACCTTGTAAACGAGACTTCTCATTAACTGTGAGTTGAATTATTTCTGCCATTGAAAGTACATATGAAGATGTGTATGAAGAAACCCCTGCAGACAAACTTTGAGTATTTACATAAAATGAAGCGGGGTATATCTTTGTGAGCTCGTTCAAAGTTTCTCTTGTTCCTGTTATTTTCTTTCGTGGTGCGTTTGTGTTTTTTCAATAACGTAACTTCTTAAAACGCCAATGAGGAAATTACAGAACATATGAAATAATGAAGAAAAACAGCATTGATTTTACACGAGACTTATCTTAAAGTAAACTTATAGTTATGTGCCCTAGTAAAAATGTCCATGTAGTTTCTGCATTGTACTCTTAACCTGCATTGAACCAGGGTCCGCATCCATGAAATTGTTCTTATGCTCATACTCAGATTCTTTACTCAAGCCCAATTTCCTTTTTCTTTCGATGAAGTTATATGAAATCACAGTTTGCTCAAAATTAAATCCGAATACCATTTTCAATGTTTAAACTTAGCTTGTTTATCACGTCACGTGATTTAAGCGAGTTACAAATAAGTTGAACACAGGAGCCATGCTTGAGAGCATGAGAACGGTTTCATGAATACGAGCCAAGATGTAAATTTATGACCTTGATATTGATGCTTAATATAGCCATTCATGAAACTCCGTCTTCGCACAATACCTAAAGTAATTCGTACAATTATTTCATAATTTGAACAAGTATAAAATATAATTGACCATGTTATGTTTAGTTATTTAATTATTTGTTTTTCATTTGTAGATCCTAACTCCCCCGGAGCCTACACACGAGTAATGAATTATCTCCCCTGGCTTCAACAAATTGTGGGATCACATACCCCGTAGAGGATACAATAAAGCTTTTTAAAGAGTGTCATTTCTACACGGATTTGATCATACTATGTATATATAATATGTTCATCTGTGCAAGATTGACGGTCACATTTACAGAGAATTATAAAGTGATTCATTTCAATAGTGTCCATCAAAAGGCTATAAAACTATAGAATACATTTTTCATGTTTTCTAACAAATATGTTGTATTAAAATCCACTTATCCCGGTTAACAGTCAAAAATACATTTATATAATTAAAGAGAAAAAAAAGTTGTTATGTTATTATGATTTAGTTTAATCAATTAATTTCTTTATTGTTGTTAAAAAGAAAAAGCGTGAACAGAGAACCTGGACACCTAATGTTCGACGTACGCAGTATAGAATAACAATGATGGTGAGGCCACATAATGAATAAGGTGTATAACAACGGTGTCTGGTCCACTGATGGTGAGGCCACACAATAAATAAGGTATATAACAACGGTGTCTGGTCTACCGATGTGGGGCCACATGATAAATACGGTGTATAACAACGGTGTCTGGTCCACTGATGGTGGGGCCACATAATAAATAAGGTGTATAACAACGGTGTCTGGTCCACTGATGGTGGGGCCTCACAATAAATAAGGTATATAACAACGGTGTCTGGTCTACTGATGGTGGGGCCACATAATAAATAAGGAGTATAACAACGGTGTCTGGTCCACTGATGGTGGGGCCTCACAATAAATAAGGTATATAACAACGGTGTCTGGTCAACTGATGGTGGGGCCACACAATAAATACGGTGTATAACAACGGTGTCTGGTCCACTGATGGTGGGGCCTCACAATAAATAAGGTATATAACAACGGTGTCTGGTCCACTGATGGTGGGGCCACATAATAAATAAGGTGTATAACAACGGTGTCTAGTCTACTGATGGTGGGGCTGCATAATAAATAAGGTGTATAACAACGGTGTCTGGTCTACTGATGGTGGGGCCACATAATAAATAAGGTGTATAACAACGGTGTCTGGTCCACTGATGCCGGGGCCACACAATAAATACGGTGTATAACAACGGTGTCTGATCCACTGATGGTGGGGCCTCACAACAAATAAGGTATGTAACAACGGTGTCTGGTCAACTGATGGTGGGGCCACACAATAAATACGGTGTATAACAACGGTGTCTGGTCAACTGATGGTGAGGCCACACAATAAATAAGGTATGTAACAACGGTGTCTGGTCCGCTGATGGTGGTGCCTCATAATAAATAAGGTATGTAACAACGGTGTCTGGTAAACTGATGGTTGGGCCACATAATAAACAAGGTGTATAACAACGGTGTCTGATCCACTGATGGTGGGGCCTCACAATAAATAAGGTATGTAACAAAGGTGTCTGGTCAACTGATGGTTGTGACACATAATAAATAAGGTGTATAACAACGGTGCCTGATCCACTGATGGTGGGGCCACATAATAAATAAGGTTTATAACAACGGTGTCTGGTCAACTGATGTTTGGGCCACATAATAAATAAGGTGTATAACAACGGTGTCTGGTCCACTATGGAGTCTCTTCAAAGATGTGTCTCCCTTTTAAGCCGGAAAATTGCACCTTGTCACCCTCTGGGGGATATAGCATCGTGTTGAATGGCGCGATCTAAGTAATATCATAGTATAACGTCACGTCAACATTAGCAGACCATGGAAGACAACTCTGATTTGCTGGGAAAACATGCAAGCAACACTCATATTTCATTCTATCACGGTTTGTCGGTGGATTTGTGAGTGAAACAGGATGGGAGAAAAACAAGCATCCCCTACCTTGAGGGTGTGACTGACAAATCTCCGACCCTCGGGTGATATTCTCGAATGTCTTAATCTCGGCAAAGCCTCGGGTAATCAAGAATGTCCATTGAAGACGATGCCACTACACAAACCCTACTTGTCCATGGCAAATATCCTTGTGAAGTCTCATAAAAACACACACACAAACAGTCAACAAATGCCGCCGCTAGCGTTATGACAATGAGTGAAATGATGAAATTATATTTTTGGTTTGATTTTCACCTTTGACGACTGATTGCGAAACTATTAGGGCTAACTCGTCCAGTGTATATCAAAACACAACATAACTTTGCAGGCTCGTGAAAATCTACCAAGAAATATAATGCAGCCAGAAACTAATGACAAATGTGTGTGGCGGAATAATGTTTTGGTAAGAGTTCCAGTGCCCTTCGCCATAGACCGGTGACGCCGATGTCCGACATTGGCCAAGGTATGTTCAAGGAAGTCAGCTTGCTGTGAAATGAAGACATATATAGGCATCATGTGACAAATACTAGAGCGCGCAAAAGAACAGCCCAATTTTAATGATTAAATTATCTAGGTCACCTTTCTTATCGAGGCGTATGGCCACTACTTTAGACACGAAAAGACTTTCGTTACATTTTACTTGGTAGAATAGATATAATACATATATGTTTGTAAATTATGGTGGCAGACATATATCTCGGGGTTCGAAAACGTTGGAAAAAATTATCAACTCAGGTCGCAAGCGGCCTTCGTTAATTAATTTTTCAACATTTGCTCACCTTCGTTATATATTCGACCATAAAGCACGCACATACGTTGGTTATTTCTTAAATGAAGCAGCTAGAGTGAGGAAATGGGCGTAACATACGTACATACAATCAGCTTAACGTTATATCCCTTCGAACTGTGATTGCGAGAGATAATAAATGTTTAAATGCGACACCCGAAATGCTTTATAAGTACATGCATGTATCACTGCAAGCATCTAATAAAGATCGTACAAAGTGTGTCCAATACCATAAGTTTTGGATGTAGGTAATTTCCACGTCAGTAAAAAGGAAATTCAAATCCCACGTGTAGAATTACCTATCAGAGGATTAATAGCTTTATACATTTTTTGCAAACATTTACCAGTAAAAATTCGGAGGTTAGTTTTCGCGGCAGTTCAATATCAAATCGATATATTGAACAAAGAACAATACTTTTTTCGCATTTATAACCAATGAAACTACAGAAAACCAAGCCACTAATTATAATTATATATATCCAATCGGAATAATTTTGCTTCGGCGTTGTCCTTCATGATGACGTCATCAGCTGAGTACCGCTCAACAATATAATAATATAGACAGATTTTGACGTTTACAATTAAGCACTTGAACTGATTGTTACCTGGCCATTTTTTGGTTTTTAAATCTCAATGTACAATAGTAGGAATATGGAATGCTTCATCTATATATTTCAGTCGTGTGGCAGAATCATTCCGCTGATCAGAGACATACAAAGCCATCGATGGGGAACCGTCGGCACTTTCCGTAAACGCGAAACTACTCGTTTACGGAAAGTGCCGGCAGTTCCCGACTGATGCTTATTTATTTTCCAGCCACATCCGTGAAAAATAAATGGTATTAAACGATAAATAAATTGATATCATGTATACATTCGCTGGAGTTAATAATATGCTTCATGGCTAAAACAGTATGTCAACATGGTTGGGAATGATATATTGTGAAGCTCATAAACTAACCACCTATATAATGTGGGAACAGGCTTTATATAAAATGGACAACTTGTGCCCAGAGACGTATATATTACATGTAATATATACGTCTTTGTTGTGCCCAATCCCTTTTACATACTAGGTGCAAATATAAATATGTTTAAATCAAAATATAATTTATTATCATTTTATCAAATGGTATTCTTTTGATGTTAAATTTACCTTACTTCTACATTACAAGGGGGGACGGTTTTAAAATTGAGATTTAACACAAACATGACGTATGTCGTTATAATGAGGAAACACTGTTGTATTAACGACATAGCTTAGTTATAATGACGACTTATACTATCTTGTAATAACGTTAACGACTTACAAGAAAGGTTTTAGTTATTTACGACATAATATTTTTTCTCGACAACCTGCGATGAAGATGCCCTAAAGTTAACGTTATGTGTCGGTTATCGTTACCAAAACGGGACACACGTAACAGTTAACTAGGCCAGATATATGTAATATACGTCTCTGTTTTCATTTAAAAAAAAGTTTAGATATAAATTCAGACAAGCTTTGTATGATAAAACGGAAAGGCATACTCAGGAAAAAAAGTGCACGGCCCTCCCCACCTAATATTTACACGAAATCTTAAGTTGTTGTGTTACCTTTTCATGGGGGAAACAAGCACAGTCGGCACACTAGAGTCAAGTTCGCCTAAATTTTGCAAGGGCAGTAACTCCGTAGCAAGAAATTAAACCGGAAGTTTATGCTCGCTAGGCAACAACTCCATCACGGGGAAAAAAGTAGAGCAGACTTGTTTACAAAATGCCATCTCCTATGCTTATCGAGGATCCAATAGAAGCTAAAGATGTACCAAAACTAATACAGGTGATCATTTTTATTCATGGAAAAGTCTTTGTTGAAGGATTGAGGATAAATTATTCGATGATCACACATGACATGCATTGTAAACCGATGTAACCACTTGCACTTGCAGTACATTACAGTACACAGTATTCCTGATTCCATTGACTTTTAATAGATCATGTATACACATTCGGTTGAATCCACATTAGGCCTTTTGAAAACAACACCCTTAAATGAAAGTAGGCCTGTACTGCCTAGCCCCTCCCCCCTTTGCGATTTGTTCGGCCCCACAGGATAGGGATCAATGTATTAATTAGTGAATTATTTTACAAACTTGCTGCAGCAAGGATAATTGTTTGAACCTACCCTTGTGATTAGACTTTTACAGTTAAGATCATCAGTTGGTAAAGAAAGTCAACAAGACATCATGGATAGTATTTTTTATCCAAACTTAAGTGTTTATATGATGCACAAACTGACTTTCCCATCCATTTTTTTAACGTGGCAGAGTTAGTCAGAATACGTTACAGGGTCTTTTTGAAGTAATCTTGAATACTAATAATATTTATTCGGTAAAAGCAAGATACAGGTACAAATATCACAGATTTCAATTGCATAATAATCACAGATTTATCACAGTATTTAGATTATCACATCAAAGTTAATATCACAAATTTTGGAGCACTATAAATACAATGTATCTGTTTGACTAAGCTTTAACCTAGGATATCCCATGAAAGCTGGGTGGCAGCTTATTTCCAATGGGGTCCTCTAGTATAGATCTTAATTACTTAGATAACAAAACGTCCTAGTGCATGACCACATACTTTCCATATACGGATGAAAATATTAAATATTCATCTCTGCCAATGCCACATACATAGGATGTCTCCTGATATGCCGAGGAGTATTAGGGTTTTAAGCATCTCAAAACAGCAATCTACAATTTTGACATGGTAATCTCTGACATTAATCTGAATATCATTTAGTACTAATATTAATGCCCGTCCTCCTCTGCCCCGGCCGATGCAATATATAAAAAAAGTTCTCGTCGTCAGAAAGCTAAGTTGTCGCAGCTAACTATCATTATGTCTGAAATATGTGCTAATAAAAACGACAAAGTTGAAAAACTGGCAGCTTGATCAAACCTTTAAAGAACAGATTTTCACAACCGTGAAGATTTCATCTGATTAACAGTTGCGAAAAACTGTTCTTTAAAGGTTTGGAATAATTGTCTTTGACATTTTTATATTCAGAAGCTCAACAATGGGCTACGTAGCAATAAAATAATTTCTCACAAAGATAATGTATCTTAAGATGCAAGGACTGCTTCATTGTTTTATCTTCCAGTTTATATTAAACTGATGTATTTGAAGGTCAATCATATTGCACTGTTTTTTTCAAATTTCATTTTAGCCAAGAAGTCACAGAGCCAAAGTGTGTGTATGGTAAGTAATTAAGATATATCGAACAGTAAATTATTACTATAGATCAGGAATGGGACAGGTCTGGATGAGGATGCTGCCAGCTAGGATACACCAATTATAACTACTACTTCACTATTAAACACCACAATGTTTTTAATAATCCCCCTACCACTGCCAAAAACTATAACTAAATATATTGGAAACTGTGTTTTCCAGCAAGACTATAAGCTTTGATAAATCATTTCTGAAAAGAAAAACATATCTTTCGGGGCTTTTTATGAGAAATAATAAAGATGAAATAAACAAAATATATTCAACAGCAGTGTATAAAATTCAGTGGACTTCATAGATTGTTATACCATTGCTCAGATTGAGCTACCTGGTCAACAGAAGTATCATGGCCCAGCTGCTACAGTTTTTAACTAACAGAAGTTTAGGGGAGGTAATTTTATATAGGAAAAACACATGTACAGTGCAGTGGGACAGGGATCCTCAACTTAGGAGGGTGGTAGTCTATTCCCTGGCTCGTGACCGAAGGGTGGCAGGTTCGAGTCATGTCACGGCACTGTGTTGTATCTTTGGACAAGATACTTAACTCCGCTTGATCCAGTCTACTCAACTGTTAATGAGTACGTGGTTGGGCAGTGCTAGAATTGTTGAAAGCTAACTGTGAGCGCCGAAATGGCAGCACCGGCTGTTACTCCCCAGGGAGTTGAGAAAGATGTTGGCTGGTTGCAAACGCCATATAACCACAGATAATAATTTGTGAACCGCTTTGAGACAACCTATGAACTAGCTAGGTAGTGATAAAGCGGTACATATAAGAACCTTGAATGATAATAATAATTATTATTATTATTAACTTCTTGTTTCAGGTTTGATGAGACACATTTTAACTTTTCTAAATCATATATTAATGGCTCCACACTATTAGGCCAGTTTGATTAAACAGTATGTAATGTGAGGTACCGTATCAACAATGCAATATGTCTGAACTATAATGGAGAATTAACGAGGAATATCATTTAAATAACACTGGTTTCCTGGTCCAACAGACCACACACAAAAATTTAGTGAGGAAAATTGTTGAAATCTGTATGGACTGGTATCTGAAAAGATATGTTATACTGTGAAATGACATCATATATCATAATTATAATTAAGTAAATCATTAGGAATGATAAGATTTTTTTCTGGTTAAGGCCTATTATTACCTAAAATGCATTTTTGTATTGCATAAATTGCTTTACAGGTATGTATGTATAGTTTGTTGTTTAATTGATGTACAGGGCTGACCTCACTGTTGATGATGTAGACAGAATCAATGAATCAGACAATGCGGCACACATCAAGCAGTAAGTATTCGTACTGACATGATATCTGATAGTCATAGTCTCATTTAGTTTCAGACTGTCTCAGAATTTTAAAAGAGACAACATTAATTACTAAAAAGAAACCATGCCTGTCCATGTGACATTTCCTCATTTCACAAGGTGAAAAGTTTGATTGATTGCTTTCCCAGTGGCTTTGAAAACAGGAATTATAGTTCTTTTATGCGGACTGTAAATGTTCATTTATATTTGCTTTATTCAGACAACAGGGGCCTGTCATACACCTTACATGAAATTAAAAGAATACTTGATATTACCAAATATTGATAAGTTCTGTAATAAACTTGCAAAAATCAATAACCGGTAATATTTGCAACAATCAATAACCGGTAATATTTCCGTTCAATGAGATGAACCATGAGAGAAGTTCCTCTTGACTCAATTGCCTCCCTTGTTTTACAGAGTGTTGGCAGAGGTGTTTCAGTTGAGTGACCACAGAGACAATCTCAAGGCTGGAATCATCCTTGACCTCTACTACTACACAATACAGTTTGCTAAAGAAAATGGTTTCAACAAAGAAAAGCTGTCCACTTTATTTTCAATTGTGAAAAAGACACATGAAGTCTGCATAGGTAATGGAGGAGTTAAGTCAATGATTAATGTCCCAAAGTATCACTTTCTAATACAACAGTTTGAACTGAATGTATTTATTGTAAAAAAAAAAATCTTTTTCATCAAAGCAGCATATTTTTAAACATTGAAAAATATAACATAAGTATAATATTTTTTCCCAGTAACATTTCTTTCAAAGTCATATGATGTATTATGTTTTGAATTTTGGATGTTACCTTTTTCAGAAACTCCATTTGGAAATGTAGACCAGACATTCAACTATTTCAAAGAGCTAGTCCTGTGTCATTCTGTCAATGTAAGTGCATGCAGTAAAACCTACCTTAATGACCACCTGTTTATAAAGGCCACCTGCCTAATTAAAAGACCATTTGTCTACAAAACAATCTGTCTATAATAAATATGAGTTTATAAAAAAATCTGTAACTATCCATTCTTGGGAGACCCTAAATAGTCTTTTCTATTAGCCCTAGCATTAAGGGAATCATTCTCATCTGTAAGACAGTACCTCTGTTAAAGCCAAAACAAATGTTTGTTTTTGTCAAGAATAAGGTCAGGCTCCCAGGGTAGGTCGGGATACCTGAAACACACATTTGTTTTTTTAGGCTTATGAAGGGCCAAGCTTAATGTATGGAACATAAGTTATTACTGATGAAAAACTATCAAAGTAATACCATCAATTATTTTGGTTCTATTGACAGAGACCTCCCTTCAGTATTGAACTGTTCACTGCTGATGAGATCCGTTCGATAACTGAGTATGTAATCAACACATACTTCCGTCATTTCAAGATGTATAAATACGCTTTCACACCACTGGTAAGTGAACATGTAACTGGCTGACATCTGGCCCAAGCATTTCAACCTAAGTGCTCTGGTTTGACTTTCTGGCGTCAAGAGCAACATATGCTACACCTTTAAATCAGGTCTAAATTGTATAGACAGTTCTATTTTAATTGTTGTCTGTTAAAAAAGTTAAAACACTTGTTCAACTCATTGAAATTCGGGACAAGAAAACTTTCCTCAAATGGAAGGATTTATACATGAAACATCCTTTCAGTCAAACTCAAATTAAGTGTTCATATTAAAACCATATGTTCTCTGTAAATTGAAGATTTCTGACGACCAGATTAAAAAGTAAATTACAACAAGGAAATGGAGCATCTACAAGTTCAGGCACCTGCAAAATAATATCACCTGGTACAATATAATACGAAATATCAAAAGTTATATCAAATTAAGATTGAGGTTGAACATACATAAATCTCAGTCTCAGCATGACAATGGATATATAAATGAAGACCAAAGGCTAGTTTTAATTTGAATCTTGTTCTAATACACTGTACTATTATAGTCTCGGCCAAATGGCTGCTATGTAAAAATGAGGATTGTTTTGGGGAAGACTTGTATAAATGGTTATGAATTAAATTTCATAATAAATATTTTGTCCCCAGGTACGTCTTGACTTGTCCTTGACCTACGCTGGCATGCCTCCTTCACCACCTCAGTCTGAGGGTAAGTTTTCTCCATTGGAAATGAGTCATCTTCATGTGATAATACAAAAATTTACCAGTATATTCAAATCACAATTTTCTTCGTTTAATTATAAAGTAAAGAAAGCTGATAAGAAATATGATAGATACCTTGTTTTAGGAGCTTCAAAAATCTGGTGTTTGTTTTTAACTATCATATTTCAAACCTGGAGAAAAAAATGATTTTTTATTTTGTTGCGAAGCTTTTATCATTTATTTCTGTGAATTGTTTTTCATCTTATTTTGCTTGCTTGTTATATTGCAAAGCTTTCCTCCTTTGTGTTAAATGCTTTAGAACATTATCATTTTAAGATGTGAAATATCTGTAACGATGAAACTTACCATTGACAACAGGAGAAGGTTCTCACAAACATGTGACATTCGCTGGTGCAGCCCCCGCTGGTATATAAATACATGTAGTACCTCAATATTTGTCATAGGGAACAGGAGTTTTGTCCTGGTCGCCTTGACCCCCCAGGGACATCACCTTATATCTGTAGCTTACACAATGTTTTTTTGTGGTTTCTTTGATCTGTTTGTGGCTTACAGTAGAACCTTGCTATGTCCAAGTAAAACATGGATAATCTAATGGGAATGAAAAGAATATTCCGAGCGTAATTGTATTTAGTATTTGTAGAAAAAAAACTGCCATAAGACATAAAAAATACTTTTAAGCTGAAAAGAATTTTTAGTTCAAAGCCAAAATAGCTGAAGAAGCTGTGAAATTTTCAAAAACTTGTTATTTTTTTTTCACTTTGGCTGATTTCTTTTAATCGATATACACACAATTTTAGTTTAAAATATCAATAGATAATTTTTGAAAATGCACTAGATTCAATTTTCCACTCAATCGTTACTTTAATCATGCTTTGAACAATTGGCCCGAAAAGTTCAACTGTACAGTCACAGATGTTTTACTGAATATTTCAATCTGCATGATGAATGAATTGTATCTTCAAAATCCACTTGGGGTTCAAGTGTAGCATGACTTCTGAAAATGGGATTGCTTCTGTCTGGGATTGCACATGCTGTATGATGTAATTATATCTTTTGCATGTCAGAAGACTACGTTCAAATTCACAAACAATTGTAGAATCAGACATGATGAGTCTACATCATAAGGTCCAACTTAGGTTAGTTCAGGATTGTGAAGGTGTGACCTATGTTAGGTCAGGATTGTAAAGATGTGACCTAGGTTAGTTCAGGATTGTAAAGGTGTGACCTAGGTGAGTTCAGGATTGTATAGGTGTGACCTATGTTAGTTCAGGATTGTTAAGGTGTGACCTATGTTAGTTCAGGATTGTAAAGGGGTGACCTAGGTTAGTTCAGGGTTGTGAAGGTGTGACCTATGTTAAGTCAGGATTGTAAAGGTGTGACCTATGTTAGTTCAGGAGTGTAAAGGTGTGACCTAGGTTAGTTCAGGATTGTAAAGGTGTGACCTAGGTTAGTTCAGGGTTGTGAAGGTGTGACCTATGTTAGTTCAGGATTATAAAGGTGTAACCTAGGTTAGTTCAGGATTGTAAAGTGTGACCTACGTTAGTTCAGGGTTGTGAAGGTGTGACCTATATTAGTTCAGGATTATAAAGGTGTAACCTAGGTTAGTTCAGGATTGTAAAGTGTGACCTATGTTAGTTCAGGAGTGAAAAGGTCCGGCGTATGTTAGTTCAGGATTTTAAAGGTGTGACCTATGTTAGTTCAGGATTATAAAGGTGTGACCTAGGTAAGTTCAGGATTATAAAGGTCTGACCTATGTTAGTTCAGGATTGTAAAGGTGTGACCTAGATTAGTTCAGGATTGTAAAGTGTGACCTATGTTAGTTCAGGAGTGAAAAGGTCCGGCGTATGTTAGTTCAGGATTTTAAAGGTGTGACCTAGGTAAGTTCAGGATTGTAAAGGTGTGACCTAGGTTAGTTCAGGGTTGTGAAGGTGTGACCTATGTAAGTTTAGGATTGTAAAGGTGTGACCTAGATTAGGTCAGGATTGTAAAGGTGTGACCTATGTTAGTTCACGATTGTAATGGTGTGACCTAAGTAAGTTCAGGATTGTAAAGGTGTGACCTAGATTAGTTCAGGATTGTAAAGTGTGACCTACGTTAGTTCAGGGTTGTGAAGGTGTGACCTATGTAAGTTTAGGATTGTAAAGGTGTGACCTAGATTAGTTCAGGATTGTAAAGGTGTGACCTATGATAGTTCAGGATTGTAAAGTCTACATAAAGCTTTTAGAGTTAGTAATTAGCAATCAAATTAAGCGGTACAATCTGTTTTAAAAACGTATTATCATATATAGTTTTTGGATTTGCAAACTTGCAAAGAAAATATCAAAAGAGGCATTTAGTGACGTTTGCATTATTTTCCTAAAATAGGTAACGAAAAGTCAGGATTATGTTCCCAATTTTTGAAAAAATAACACCTTTATTTTCCCAATAATAGCGGGTTCATGCTTCTATGATCCGGAAGGCTTACGGAAAACGGATCATACAGTAAAATTAAGGTTGGAAATAACACTGAAATTTATCTGCACTCGCTTTATTTCGTTCAAATTGTTTGCTAGAAAACATAATTAACCAAACAACATTTGTCACGAACGCAGTGATGATCATATTGAATGTGTTCCGAATTGTCTCAGGTAGACTGTACTAAGACTACAGTCCTCAACATATCCCTGGGTGCACACATGTCCATGCTTTCCTTCAGAGTATGATCAAGTTGTTTGTTTTATATGGGAAAACTGACCAGGATTGGGTAAAATGTCTACTCTAGTTAATAAAATTTAAAGACAGTATTTCATATTTCTCTGCCTATTTTCAAGAGACTATTTTATAATTACACATATATATAAATATAGCTAATATTGCTGTTTATTACACGATGAACTGTTTTTCATGCGTAATTTAATGCATGATGGAAATGTATTGTTTTCTGAAGAATTTTGTAAAAAAATGAAACTGGGCACATTCTATGTGGAAGATAGCCTGGCCCCGGTTTAAAACTTAAACGAAATATTCAAGTTAAACTTTTTAAAAAACAAATTTGGAATAAACACACAATCATATAAATGTGATGTTAAAAAATAAATAAAGAAAAGAAATTCGGAAAATACAAACAAAGATCAATGTTAAAAATCTGGAATAATATTTAACATATACTCAGCGAAAAACAGAAAGATTAACACCTACCTCTATATCGGTTCAAATAGAATATTTTTTTCATAGTATAAACATTTGGGAATGGAATACCTACCGAGTTCAAGTTTAAAGTCTGGTGTCCCTAGAACTCCTCATGCGTTTCCACAAAAAAATAAAAATAATGAGTGTTTTGTCAACAACGTAAACATTATTCCTTTAACATTAAATGCCACTGGTTGGCTTTTTATTTAGAATATGATTGTGCCGACTGCGGCGCTTGTCAAAAGTATCTTGCCGTGTTAAATCTGTTACATTGTGTGAGTAGACAATATCCCTGCTCCGTGCTCACCGTATCCATCGGTTACAAGTGTAATGCGACGACGCTGCAACGCTGTAGTCATACACGATATGTGACTCAGGAAACTGGACTTGCCCTGTGTTAACGTCTTATAAAATCAATTCATAGCAGCCCTTTCTTGATTTATGACATTAATAAACCAATGCTTCAGCGAGTATATTGATACCAAGTTGAATACAATTGCAACAAAAACGATAAACGTTTATTTCAGCATAAAATAGTGTTTACCCTTCTTATTTTACCGAGTATATTTGAAAATAAAGAATATACTTGCTTAGTATGTTCTCATTTTTTTTTTAAATTTTATTATTTATTTCTCCATATATTGTAATCAATGAATTTAAGTTTATTCAACTTATATTAAATAATTTGTAGAGTATTGGTGAAGATGGTGTTGGTACTTCCGGATTTTTTTCCACTGTATTTTGTACAAAATCTACACGACAATTTGCATGTTAAAATTTCTATGTGCAAAATCATATGTAATATGACAAACTAATACATGCGATATAACAGGGTACTGCAATTGAGGTTGGTATATATGTGATGCCTACATCTATCAATATCATGTTAATCTTTTAATACATAAAAGCAGTTCCCGTGTCAGATGATAGTAATTTTGACGGCATCTTGTGAAAAAATGAACATAATAAATATTTACCTTACATTGTTCATTGCACTTTTATGTATGCAAACGAATTATTACGAATTTAACTATTGTATTATAATCGCAATAAAATGATAACACGCATGGATCCTTATTGAATTCTCATTGAAAAAGGTTTAGCTACATGCCTGTTTTCAAAACTTTCAGACTTACCCTGATCTCGTATTACAAACACCTTATATGAAATGTTATGCTTACTTAAACCTGCTTTAAAGATGTTGAACCGTTTTCTTCAAATCCTTGACAGTGTTGTCTGTATTTTTCCAGTGGGTGACCCAGATGTTCCAATCGAGGAGTCTGCGGAGGACTTGGTGCCAGAAGATACGGAGAGGGGTACTGGAGAAGGAGAACAAGAGGAGAAAACTCCAGAGCCAGGTAATTTCTTTTAGATCATCAAATATAGAAATAAAAATATATAAATCTGTCCGACACTTATTATGAAAAAAGCCCTTTTCTGATTGTTCTGATCTGTAGAGAGAAAGTGGATAGGATCTGTGTCAGAAAAGTAAATATTGCTTTGTCCCCATCTTGCCCTTCCCCCCTTTACTGACGTACCATATATCAACTGATAAATAAGAGCATATACCAACGTTACTGTTGGTATTGGTAGAACCCTCAATCAACCACCGGTTATGTAAGAACAGCCTTTAACATGATAAAAAAACGTCACACACAGAAGAAAGAACATGGACACAGAACATTAAAGGATCAAGAATCAGTCAGAATTGTAGAAATGTCTGCTGCTTTTGAACATGAAGTGATGTTAGGGGGTCTATCCAGTGTGCTTTTTGCTAAACTGTAATTAATTCAATCTGTATTTGGCCGTCAATGTTCCATCCCACTTATTTTTGCCTATTATTATTAGTTACTTAAATATGCAATTCAGGGGAGGCTGCCAAGTCGAGAGAAAATTTTGTCCAGTTAATTTTTATTTTGTATGTAATAAAATTTATTTAAATTCAACTAGAGATCTAGTAAACCTACATTCTGAGATCAATAAAAGAGCCAAGAGTAGTATAATTTAATTGTTAGATATTGAAGTATTGGTACCGGTAAATTACCTCTCTAGCTAAAATAATAATGAAATATAAATTGACAGTAATTCACATTTAGATCTACGTTTAAAGAGTTGAGTATTTAGATTTACAGCTTTTTGTATTAGTGTATCTTACTAAAATCATCGTTTTAATACGTCATTAAAGTCTTTTGTCAGAGTTTTGCTTCTATTACTTTGTGGCTATAGTTTTATAATTATGAACAGGATTGTAGACAAATGGTTTTGTCAGAAATTCTGCTCAGAATGAAAAACCGTGGATTGTATGCAGCTTAAATCTATATAGACTTTTTCTCATAAATATTGAAATTGTATTTCTAGTTCATGCACTTGTATTTCGATTACAAATGGAACAAATAACAGTCAATATAAGTTAAATTATAAGAGCAAATATTATTTTTGAAATTTGATGAGTAAAATATGTAACAGCCGGGGCTTCAGTAATGTAATAATGCATTGTGTGTCTTCACTCTGTAAATAAATATTTTACGTCTGTATTACATTTTAAAATTATTTTAATTCTCCTCAAAATCTGACAAATATTCCTGTAGACCATGTACAGAGTCTGTGTATAATGTGTTGACACACCTGTGTTTCAGAAGAGTCGGATGCGAGGAAGGAACTTCGGTCAATGATCCAGACTTTCCTGTCAGAAGAAGTGAAGAAAATGAAGGTTTCAGTAGAGGAACAGATAAAAACAACAGAAGAAACGCTAAACAAAAAATTGGACACTGCAGAGGGAGGCGCCAAAGGAGGGAAAGGGGGAAGGGGCTCTGCCAAGGGGAAGAAGAAATGAAGTTATGGACTGTGATAATGACTATACTTTTGTGATATTTTTATGATTACTTATATGCATGTATTTGCAAAATAATACGGCTGTTAAAAGGGTTTAATATAAATATTGGACTTTAAAAAGTGAAATGTATGAGTTCCAAACTAGAAAATATATCACTTTTTCAGTTTCGTTTATAAAATCGATCAACAATACAACAAAATTATATTTTTGGAATAAATGATTTTGGTTTTGAGAAAAAATCTCGGACAACATGTTTCTTCAAAAGTTAATACATATTGATAATTTTGGTATTTATAACATGTGAAATATTGTACATAGTGGTGTGACGATGTAGGTATGGGAGGTTTTGTATGGATTGCGTGAAAGACAAAGTGACTACAATAAACATAATAAACTGTTGATATATTTTTTTTGTTTGATATAAGTGCTATGGAAAACTTTATTGCACCTCGGTGACTACCTGAGTTTTAGAAAGATGTGCATGAATGAGCACAGATTAGCTGTCAGTTATAGAAAATATAAGTAACGCTACACATACTTGATTGGTTGATGTGGCTTTACGTCCTTCGTTTTAGTTACAACTAGTGCCTAGGACAATATAGGTGCTGCACAGCAATGATTGACTGCAATGTGTGAAGTGTAACGTCAGACATATAGCTATTGCGAAAAATTGACTCAATGAGTAAGGAAAAGATTAAATCAATACATTTACCTCATGTCATAATTGACTAAGTAAGTAATGGAAAACGCAAATTCAATATGTGTACCTCTTTCAATAGTTGACTAAGTGAGTTATAGAAAATTCAAAATCGGGACAACTTGTAAGGCAGTTTTCAATGATTCATTACGTGAGTTATAGAACACTGGACATCAGTGGGACTTGCAGTCATTGACGAAGAAATGTAATCATGTAAATTTACTATGCCATCTTTGTAACATACATTGTATGCTTAACCAATAAGCTGTAAAGCTTACGGAATCAAATAAACTGTGAAATTGTGACGAAAACACGCAATCAAATTTAGTTCACTGACATAGCACGAACAAAATGTGCAAATAATGGCTACCAAGTAAACCAACATGACAATGTCAATGGTGATCAGCACACAACACCGTTTTTAATCAAATCGGACATAGTGTTATTACATACAGAAGGTTAGGTACCTGAATTCAACAGTGACATGGCGTAGAGTCCGACTAATTCCGACTGTGCGTATTGCAGAGTTATCTTCTCTTGGGAGCAGGTATTGATTGTTAGCTCACTTGTTTGTGAGAGTAACGTCATCAATTTTTGAGAAAACGACGTAATTTTCTCACACAAACCAATAACGTAACAATCAATACCTGCTCCCAAGAGAAGATAACTCTATAATACGCAAAGACGGAATAGGTGATCTGGATTTATGTTACTAGTATGTCCTTTTTGATTAACGGTAAAAGTTATTCAACAACATATGCTGTCATCAATATCCCCATTTGATAAGAAGTCTAGATGATATCCCTAAGTTACAATGTAACATTCTTTACAATTGTCATTGGTACGGAGTATAATTTATATAACTATTTTGATATAAAGGGCATTTATCACCGAATGCTTTAGAATAATAGTGTTTATATAGAAGGTTTAATTTCCCTTGAGAAAGTATCATTGAACACTTTAATGACAAAGGGTCTGATCGACTTTCTACCATATTAATATTTTAGAAACAAATTGGTTTTGTAATAAGACTTATGAATTATTGTTATGAACTCGATTTCCAGTTGTTCAGAGACATGAACACGGGGTACAACGATCGAAAGCTGGAGTGACTCAATTCTTCTTTCAATACACTGGCGATCAATTGTTTTCGTTCGACCAGTTGATACTGAGCGTTTGACGTAATGACGATAGAGATACGTATAAGTATTAATCAAAGATTATCTTAGAAAAATATGATCAGTGATATAACGGAAGGTTGTTCTTTATACCATGCAAGCTTGTGAATGATACTCTTTTATCAGTGACTATTTAATAGACAAAGCGGTTGGACTCTTTCAATGCCAAGAATTCTTCTAAGACACTTATATGTTTGGCGGAATGTCTAGGAACAGGAACAATGCTGGTGCGTAACCACAGAAATACTCACTTCATATAGGGTTATGAGGGTAGCGTAACCATTTATGTCACACATTTTATGCGTTCTTGGCGATAGCGTGCTGCATTGGGTTCACCATTACATGTCTTTTTTACGATCGGAAATTTTGAGAGAAATTAGCACAATTTTTGACAACATTATATAGGAAACATGTCACTTTGATAATCAATGATGAGGTAAATAGCGTATATGAACATTTGTGTGAGAAAGGGTGAAAGGGTTTGGGGGTTACAGGCTGGGGGGGGGGGGGGGGGTGACATACGCTTTGTCGATGAGTCCGTCACAATGGAAATGTTCATACTTCCGTTGGTAGTAGATGTCCTGGAGGCACTACACAGTATGAAAACCCCCGACGACGAAGTAGGTTTGGACCACACCTATATAGTAGCATATTGGTGTACTCAGAAACCATAATGAACAGCCTCTATCGAACTACGCTTCATCCGGATTTACATTGGTGGGCGTAGATAGTATAAGTATCACTCATGACTATGTATACATACATTTTTTTTTATTAAGGACAGTTCACAGTTGGGTAAACGTCCTTAAATTACCTTAGCTTTTAATAGGACATTAAACCCTATAACACTAAAACCACGTTTGAGGGGGAAGAAAATGTGTGTGTATCCCACTGCTTGTATGCATAAATCGACTAATCTGGGAACCCGATAGGCTCGTAAATTCTCACGTGGAATATCTGCCTAGTTAGATATAATTGACCATAACTATAAGCTCCAAAAGACGGACCGGCAACCTGTTACATTGGGCAACAGGTCAATGTTCTAAAGCCTGTGATTATGGTCAGTTTTAGTGGACTAGTCTCTGCATAGAGAAACAATAGTTGATATTCACGATCGTGGCAACACATGGGAGTTTTATCATGTTTTTCTATACATATTTTTGATGATTTTGTTTAGTTCCAGGTTTCTGTGTTACAAAAAAAAAAACGTATAAAAACAACATGAATAAAAAACCTCACCGAAATTCCCAGTTACTTTTTCTGTGGGAAACGATGTTGCAGTTATTACAGTAAACCTGGGAAATTCGCCCAGTGTAAATGTTATTAATATAGGGGCAAACTGTGTGCAAACTACCTTTATCTTAATCCTGTGTAGGAGGTACTAAAAAACACAAATTGTTTTAGTTACTTACTGGCTGACTTTAAGAAACGTGACGGTATTTAAATGAGATATGCGTTTCCATTAACAAAGAAGTATTCCGTCTTTGCGTATTGCAGAGTTATCTTCTCTTGTGGGCAGGTATTGCTTGTTTCGTCATTGGTTTGTGTGAAAAAATTACGTCGTTTTCTCAAAAATTGATGACGTTACTCCCACAAACAAATGACGTAACAATCAATACCTGCTCACAAGAGCAGATAACTCTGCAATACGAAAAGACGGAATTACACAAGCTTGCTGTGAATCTTTGATTTGTAAGTTTATTGGTAGTGTATCGTACTCTTTACTTCTATAACCGAAGTATGTTACGATAAATTTGTGTGTCATCTTTGCAAAATGTACTTAAACTACTCTTGTATTCGAATAACTTTCTCACGCAAATCCTGCATGGGTGAAGTCAATCAGTATTAAGTTAAGGAGGATGGAATTTTCATCATCATGTGTAGAATTAAGAGTCAGAACTACGTCAAGCATAGGCTCTGACCCCAAACTCTTCAAACTCAGACAAAATGTCAATTTTCCCATACCATACTCAGAGTGTCCTGATATGTGACATTATCATTTGACCATAAAAGGTTCTTCTGAATGACGAAAAACTGTCTTACTTTATCATCCTTGTTTTGCAGAGTAAAGTTAAAACGTTTTTGTTATTGCATGAATAAATATTTAACTTTACTCGGATAGGAAAATGAAAATATGTCATTGGTGTTACATGATATTTGCGTTCTTCTTTTTTTCTTTTTAATTCACGTTGCAACCAAGTGTTCTTACCTAATGCCCTGTTACGTGTTACATTTAAGGAGTCTCTGCCTACGCTCTTCCAGTTTCTACGGTGGTACATTTAGGATATGCACAATATTATTTTCTACTTTAATTATATCGAGTTCTCGACATACTTCTGGAGCGCTCGACCTGTAATCTCGAACGTTAGACATAACTTCTCGTGCGCTCAACTAAGTATGATAGTTTTGTTATGCAATCAGGATGGTTTGGTTTTTATATTATTTAGCGTCCTATTAATAGCTAAGGTCATGCCTCCATGTGTGTTGTGTAAGCGTGCATGTGTGTATGAGTGCCCGAGACAGGGTATGTTGTTGTACTTGCCACCTTGTGATAGCGCGGATCTGATGCCGACTTTATAGTGTTATCTCACTCACTGAAATACCATGCCGAAGGCACCCAGCACAGCATTCCGCCCGGTCACATTATACTGACAACGAGTATTGTACGAGTGTTGTCATTACCCCAAACGCTGAACGTTAAGCAGGGAATCACAACTACCATTTTTAAGGACTTTGGTATGTCCCGGCCTGTGGACAGAACCCATTACCTTCCTCACCTGGGCGAACGTTCAATATTAAAGCCAAAAGTGAGGTGTTGCCAAGCAAGGCGCTAGGAATTAAAAGGTAGTTAGAAGTAGAAATAAACAATCGGGAAGGTAACGTTTGGAGCAAACTTAATTTGGTATCTAGTGCACTTTGTAGTGCACACGTAATGAACAAGGTAATACACTAGACAAAACATTGTAGTGCACTTTGAATCACTTACTCTAGTACTTAAAATGTATTTTTGTCCCATAATAAGGATATTCAATTCTCATTTTAATGATTTTTTTTAATAATCTATTTATAATGAATTACGTAATCGGTGAGTAAGGTTGAATATAAACCTGAATACATAGCAAACTTCTCAATATTAGATTGTTGATAACAAGGATATTTTTCAATAAATATCCAGAAAATAACGTGAATATAACTGTTTTCATATATTTTTTTTGTACTAACGAAGGCCGAAACTGATTTCTTGAGAAAATAGAGTGCTTTTCTTTGTAATAATAGTCTGTTAATGGAGTGCCCTCTCTGTGTGAGGTAATAATACATGTGTCAGTCGAACGTTCATGGTCTTTGGTACCACTGAACTTGTATATGGTTCAATGAAAAAGATAATTGACCTATTTCAGCTGACCAATTAGTATCTATTTGCCACTTACACAGTGGACGGTAGCAGAGACTGTGATTTACCTGGTGATTTACCTGGTGATTTACCTGGTGATTTACCTGGTGATAAGGTTACGCGGATGTATGATAAATGATAAAAATGTGCAGCACTTACATGTATTAAGTGCAGATGACCAAAATTCCACGTAATCATTTTGGCGTTGTCATAATAGATTAAGGTTTTATTTATTTTTTAGCCCCAAGTCTCAAGATTTTCGCCGCTCGGATGATCCTTTTTACATAAACTTTTTACATTATGAGTGTACTCTCACATAGATGTACCAATCTCAATTGCGTACTGTGATACATTCGAAATTTGGGTCTAGATCTGACGTGATGTAATTTGTCAAGATATTGGAAAGGGCGGGGCAGATACAGGCTCACGTGTTGGGTACTACTCTCCTGACCCCCAGTTTCATGAATATTCCTTAATTCCTTAACTCATCGACATAAATTGTTGAGCCCTCGAGAAAATTATCGTAGAAAATATTGTGCATGTCCTAAATGTGCCACATTCATTTACAAAACAATAAAATGTACAGATTGATTTTTCAATATTATCATTAATACTACAATTGTAAATATATCATTGAAAACTGGCAAAAATTTAAACAAGCTAGGTAAAAGATAAGCGTGTCAAAGCGAAACTAATAAGCAATAACATTAAGTAAGTGCATGCCATGTATCGATTGATGAGACAACTATCGGTCTACACCTAACAAGCTGTTACTCTACTTACACATTATGTACACATTTTAACGTCCATATAAACTGCAAATATACTATCGTCGTTTAATGAATATTCCTGTTTGTATTAATTAAAATAACTAATTCTGAAAACATCCTTTGTTTTCTGAGAAGCGTAGAAGCATTGAAGCACATACGTATATGTGTGCAAGGAGAAGGTGGTGGATTGGTTTGGTTTGGTTGGTGTGTGCTGCTTTACGTCCGTCCGATAAGGTAATGGATTGGTTTGGTTTGTGTGTGCTGCTTTACGTCCTGTTGACAGCTATGATAAGGTGGTGGGTTGGTATTTGTTTGGTTTGTTAGTGCGTTACGTCCTATTGACAGCTATGATGAGGTGGTGGATTGGTTTGGTTTGTGTGTGCTGCTTTACGTCCTATTGACAGCTATGATAAGGTGGTGGATTGGTTTTTGTTTGGTTTGTGTGTGCGTTACGTCCTATTGACAGCTATGATAAGGTGGTGGATTGGTATTTGTTTGGTTTGTTAGTGCGTTACGTCCTATTGACAGCTATGATAAGGTGGTGGATTGTTTTTTTTTTTTTGTGCTGCTTTACGCCCTATTGACAGCTATGATAAGGTGGTGGATTGGTATTTGTTTGGTTTGTTTGTGCTGCTTTACGTCCTAATGACAGTTATGATAAGGTAATGGATTGATTTGGTTTGGTTTGTGTGTGCTGCTTTACGTCCTATTGACAGCTATAATAAGGTAATGGATTGGTTTGGTTTGGTTTGTGTGTGCTGTTTTACGTCCTATTGACAGCTATGATAAAGTGGTGGATTGGTTTGGGTTGGTTTGTGTGTGCTGTTTTACGTCCTATTGACAGCTATGATAAGGAAATGGATTGGTTTGGTTTGGTTTGTGTGTGCTTCTTTACGTCCTATTCACAGCTATGATAAAGTGGTGGATTGGGTTGGTTTGGTTTGTGTGTGCTGCTTTAGGTCCTATTGACAGCTATGATAAGGTGGTGGATTGGTATTTGTTTGGTTTGTTTGTGCTGCTTTACGTCCTAATGACAGTTATGATAAGGTAATGGATTGGTTTGGTTTGGTTTGTGTGTGCTTCTTTACGTCCTATTCACAGCTATGATAAAGTGGTGGATTGGTTTGGTTTGGGTTGTGGGTGCTGCTTTACGTCCTATTGACAGCTATGATAAGGTGGTGGATTGGTTTGGTTTGGTTTGTGTGTGCTGCTTTACGTCCAATGGACAGCTATGATAAGGTGATGGATTGGTTTGGTTTGGTTTGTGTGTGCTGCTTTACGTCCTATTCACAGCTATGATAAAGTGGTGGATTGGTTTGGTTTGGTTTGTGTGTGCTGCTTTATGTCCTATTGACAGCTATAATGAGATAGTGGACTGATACATATATTATATTCAGCGTTGTTTTAAACATCAGTAAATTATTTATATATGCATTTACTTCATAAAATATTTCGTTTGATTCTTTTTGAACATATATCTGCTATCATCTGGACAATATGTGGTAATATTTGTTTGATTGTAAAAATAAACATAAATGCAAATATATTGCTAGAATTATTAATCGGGTATAGACAAAATATGCAAGAATTTTCCTGGGAAGTTTAGTATATTAAATTTGTCGTTGACAGACTGAATGGTGTAGGGGAAAACGAGAAGCAAAGCAGTGTGGTTGATTTAACCACCGACAGACTGCCGTCCCTGATGTGAAGCTGATCAGGTAACATCGAATTTAAGCCAGGAAATGTGAGTAGTATTCAGAAATGAGTTTTTTTCTAAAATACCTTTAGCATTTAAATTAGAGGAATACATCCAAAGTGTACTACAACGTCAAAACACAACGAAATGCTCAGGTCGAAGACGATACGACTGGTATTGCCTGTTCCTATAATGTCGGCGTTCAAGGCACCGTACATTAATATGTAATACACAGAAATTAAAAGGTGAACCTTAGATACACGCTTCATCGGTACTTTAATACATTAATTTATACAGTTTGCCAAAAATGAATTACGTCGAACCATACAGCTGTTTCGTTCGTTTAGGACTCGCCGATGACGTAAGGGTTCAGCGGTTGTAACGCCCTAATTAATTTGTAAAATTACTCTAAAATGCTTTACAACATTTGGATAATAGTAAAAATTATAATTGTGAAACAAAAACAAAGGCTTACAATCGCTTTTATACATTTAAGCAAGCAATGTGCACATACTTGAACAAATAAAGGGTGGTATATTTAAATGAGAGGAATACGTCGTCTTATTTAAATATACATGACGTCTTTGTAGAGACCCTAAAATGCAGACGTGAAGATACTGGACGCAGGCATAATGCCTGTATATTCAGATCACAAAGTTTAACATCAGTTTATATGATGACGTCCCGACTATGAATAAGTTCATTATTATCTATCTCGTGGTTAAAACAGCATTCAGGTTGTCCACAGTGATTATCTAATCGGGATTAAAATGTTTTGACTGTTGGTGACGTAACCACGGCATCTGGAAGGGAGTTCCAATGATAAGCAATCCGCTCACTGAAAGAATATTTCCTCAAGTTTAGTCTACTCCTTCGTTTTATTAGTGTCAGTCTGTGTCCTCTTGTTCTTTTGTTATTATTTGGAATTAAAAATCCTTCTGTGACAACTCGATCATATCCTCTATGTGTTAATTTATATACTTAGATCATGTCTCCTCTCACCCTTCTATGTTTCAGTGTAGGTAATTTCAGAATCCTCAGTCTGTTTTCATAGCTTAGATCTTTCATTCCCGGTATTTGTTTCGTTGCTTTTCTCTGTACATTCAGAGACATTATGTAGACTATGAACTACTCAAATACACAACTGTGACCATAAAGGTTACCTATACCTAAAGATACAGTTTTTACGAAATAACACAAAAATTCAAAAATCATATTCAACTACCCACCCTTTTTGTTACCAACTTTGATTCGTTTCATTCTTTTGGAGTGTGCTGTTTCTGCCCTTTAAGGAGAAAGTAAGGCATTGTTGTTTTAATGTCAGTCTCATGGAGAAAGTCTAGCACATCACGAAACCAAATTTATGTATCATTGTTGTTAAACATACGGCAAGTTGTATTTGTATCACTGTTGTGGTCATTAGCAAGGTAAGGACCGAGCACAAAAATAAAGCCATCCGTTGCAACAAGCAGCATTGGTTAGTTTAGATGTCTGCATTTTGCCAACCACGTCACCTTTTTTGAGATTCTGTATTTGTTTGAGGATGTGGAAGGGCATCTCTATGGCGTATAGCACTGGTTGGAACTTTATAACGTTCTTTGCAACATGCACAGATACTACCTTTTCTTCGCAGTCTGTTTGGCTATTTGGTAATGAAATATAAGACCATTTGCAGACCGGGAAAAGAGATTCCAAAAATCCAAGTACATGTGCTTCGCTTTCTAAAGTCTCCAGTGAAAAGACAACCATAAAATGACATGAGCAATAGCGATACATTCAGTCAACTACATCCACAATGTAAATTGTTAAATGCAAAGGAACATTGTAGGACCTCGTTTGCATAGTAATCCCTTCATGTCCAAGTTGTTCAAAAGGAGATGATTATTTTAATCAGTCATTTACACAAATTTTATATCTTTTGTACCTTTAAAAAACCCAATCATTGACCGACTGGTCCCTTTGTCAAGGTATGACTGAGTGAGCGATTTGTTATATTTTACCTGTAAAACGATGTGACGAAAAACAAATGTAAAAGAAAAGACATAAAATAGAAATCTAAACACATACAAACGAGACAAATTAAAGAAGCAACAATATCAGGAAAACTAGGAACATGAACAGAGATGAGGGGGTACACCAGCTGAGTCATCTGTATGACCAGATACTGACATAACAGGGGAGGGACTAGATCTACCCCCTACCTGTAACCTATCCGATGCAGTGTGTATACGCACCCTATCGACACGTTTAATACCTCCATTATTTGTGGAGAAAGAAAACTGAAGATATCACATATTTCCAAACTGATGAATCTTATTGAAGATATACGAAAGACATGTCATTTCACGGTCCCTCATTAGACGATATCTCGCAACGGGTCAAACGGGTTAAACTCAGATATTGTAATTTATATAGGTCTGACCCAAAGGCATCTTCCAGAAAAAAATGCTTTTATGTATGAGGGACCGTTCAACAGCAAATTAAGACACCCATCCTTTGCTTCTAATTCGAGGAGAATTGTTAACACAAAAATCGTGAAGATGAAGACCCTGCGAAAAACACTATCTATACACCATGTATATATATACACACACACAGATAACACGGAACGCGAAAGATATACATACTCACATATACAGATGATAAAACTTACGGTACACTGATACACAGTATCAATTACAGGTGATATATTACCAAGCCAGGGTAGATATAATCCCTTGTAATCTAGCGATACATGCTCATCATGTCTATATTGTACGATTTTGAATTGTTGGAATGATTTTGTGCTAGATTTCATGTAGACCGGATCAACGGAGGGCTGTCACCTTGGACCATGGGGAAGGATGGAGGAACGAGTGTGCTTAGAGACCTGTGGGCACTCCGAACGATATTCCTGGTTATCATAGCTTCCCTGGCCCCTGTCCCCTTCCTCATAAATGGAACAGTCGTAAGTCTCTTAGAAAGTCAACACCGAACGACAAACTAATAAACTCATACATACATATTCAAACAATATACAGCATTTATGATAAATCGATTTTGTATACATTGTTTTAAATCAATGAGCGAATGTTGTATGCGTTCATCGCAATGACTGCTGCATAAACAACACATGATCTAAGCCAGTAGATTACGACCAATGAAACAACAATGTAAAACTCTGTATGCATGGTCGCATCGGTATCAAAATATAGAATCTATTATCTCGGAGCCCAGTCAGACGAAGTAGACTTTGCTGAAAACAAAATATATTAAAACAGACAATTTTAGGTCTTTCTTTTTTTCAGAAATAACTTTAGTATTTAACAGATACAGAGATATCAATGCAAACCTTGAAAACCAAATTAAAATGTTGAAAATAGAAATCAAATCAAACATTATAATTAGACACCCGCTGCAGTCTAGATGGCCGTATGCAGTTTGCTGTATATTACAAAATAAATAAATAAATAAATAAACAGATGAAAAAAACACATATGGAGATAAAGGTTTGCCGTGTAAATGACAGTATGTAATTTGTAAGCTATGATTAGTTTCATTCTGCTATTTAGGCAATGACAATCCAATGTTTTTATGATGATGCATTGTTTTGTCTTACGTTAAGGAGTCGCGGTGTGCGTACGTGATGATATTGATGGCTTTCTTGTGGGTCACAGAGACTATTCCTATCCCAGTGACGTCATTACTCCCCGTCTTCCTGTTCCCTGTTCTGGGCGTGGTCCCTGCAACAGACGTCTGCACAAAGTATATCAATGTAAGTTGTGTCTTAACTGATAACACCCTTTCCACCCAGTTACAAAGTAATAGAGGTTTATCACATCAGATCAAACAGCTGACAAATTGGTAGGGATATGTGTGCCAGCATATGATCTTGATGCTGTACAATGTACCCAAAACATCATTTAAAAGACCAGAATAAATGTGGTAAATGTAAACTTTATTAATTTACAACAATTATGAAACAAGTTATTACAACTTATATAAATCATTCTTGTTGGCCCGGATTTTAGCGCGCGGCGGATTTTAATGTGGGAGAAAAAAAAGAGTACCCGGAGAAAACCCGCGTGGTCGGGCATGTGGTATACTAATGGTATATTTCAAAATGAAATTCTTTTGCAGCCAGCTTGTTTAAATAGCTAATGTTTTTGGAGTTGATATCAGTTGTCGACTGTGGCAAAAGATATTCTATTTTATAATGACACTTTAATAACGATAGGTTTCTCATAAGATGATGTCAAGATTAAGAACGTCAGTCGACCAGATATTGAAAAATTTAAACTCAAAATGATTGTTTTGTGTACTTCCTGGTCATGATTAAAAATATGATGATAATTGTCTCGAACCGATGCTTACCAGGTGAACCTATGCATTAGTAAGACTGTTCAATATGTATTGGAGTTATAGCCGAGAGGACCATTCTGTCTCTGCGTATTGCAGAGTTGTCTACTCTTGTGAGCAGTTATTGATTGTTACGTCATTGGTTTGTGTGAGAAAATTACGTCGTTTTCTCAAAAATTGATGACGTTACTCTCACAAACCAATGACGTTACAATCAATACCTGCTCACAATAGTACATATATAACAACTATTGTACATACGTTTCCAGCGTAGCCGAAATCGACATCGTTTTTATGGACAACTCGTACACATTTTACACCTTTGTCTGCATACGCTTCATTGGTCATTTGTCTGATGAATGTGACAGTGTATATATCGTACTAGTCATCGAAACGTCACATAGATAATGATAATGTGTAAAAAGAACTTCTCATAATCCATACTTACCAACATGAAGAAAATGTTTAGAAATATGGATACAGTATAGTTCCTAAGGGATGGACACTATACTATCTGTGCACACAACTATATGTATGGATACTGTCTACATCGCCAGAGATGGTCAATATGGTCAATATATTTGTTATGCCTATCAATATAGATAAGAATACTTATATCTTGTTCATAAGAGAATGATAAACTCACCTACATAAATATAAATACTATTTTCTAGAAGTGGAGTGCATATTGTATAGTACCGCTAGAAAGTACTCTTCCACCATTGTCAATATCGTCTTGTCAGGCCTCCAAAGGTATGGCTTATATAAGCGACAGTTCACTGTATATAATAAATATTATCTATATAATCTATACCATAACTAATATAATAGCCATAGAATATGGAGTATTTAAGGAATGATTTTTATTTTTTCAACATTTATGAGGTCATAACAACAATGGGTTTATGGACATATTGAATGAATCGCGTTAGCGATTCATGTAAAATATGTCCAAAAACCCATTGTTGTTATGACCTCATAAATGTTGAAAAAATAAATATCATTCCTTATATTTACATTGACGAATCCTTTCAGTGGATCGATATAACAACGAATAAAACAAATAAACAGGGTTTGTTCCTGCTTATACACGGGTGCAACGCAGTGGCGAGAACAGTGTTTTTTCGCGGGGAAATGTGACACTATCGTGAGAGATCTTAGCAACCGTCAACAACAATAACACAACAAAATGTAGTTCCATATTCAATGTTTATTTGTAGCACAGGACACGTGAATACGTGGATATTTCACAAAGCACAGTTCAATAATATTTTAAGATGTAAGAATTAAGCATCTAGGTCGGTCGTTCCGAGTGAGTAGTTTTTGTAGTGTATTACTACGCAGTGTGATCAGGTTACTATCAGTTCCCACGTGCTGAGATTCTATGAACACCTGTGTTATGCATTTATGAATGTAATTTTTGTCAATGGGTCTAAGCATACAGAATGTAAATATTATATAATAACTAATAAAATTTAGCAATAAAGTACAAATATGATTAAGTTATTATGCAGTTTTATTTTATCTGATACAGGAAACATCCATGTTATTTATCGGGGGTCTGATATTAGCCGTGGCTGTAGAGGAAGTTAATCTACACAAGAGGATAGCACTGAGGATAATACTGTTCCTAGGTACTCAGCCAAACATGTGAGTGTCTCTGAAAACAAATCTTGTAATTATTAATTGGCTTTAAATCAAGTCTTGTGTCTTGATGTGCGTCTCCTATATACAGATGATCCATAAATGTATTGTTCCCACTATTTTCACGGTAACAATAATACAATATAGAATATTCGCGATTTTCTGACTTGAAATCACACATTATTAGCAGCTGTTGTTATTTTCCAATGCTGGAAGGAGTAGTAGTGTCTCGTTTCTTTATTGAAATCTAAACTGCTTCCCACTAACTTTCTATCGTTGTACCTTCATTCGTCCCGACCACGCTCACTGATCTGCCTGATGAAATAGGCTTTTGCTTGGTCTGATGCTCCCTACGTGGTTCCTGTCCATGTGGATCAGTAATACGGCCTCTACCTCCATGATGCTACCAGTCATTTTGGCCGTCATTGACCAGCTCAGGGACATGGAAACTCCACGCACAGCAGGTAGGCTCATTGACCATCTCAGGTACATGGAAACTCCACGCACAGCAGGTAGGCTCACTGACCATCTCAGGTACATGGAAACTCCACGCACAGCAGGTAGAAAGTCATAACACATCATGTTGGGTTACTTACCAGCTCAGGGACATGGACACCTGATACATATCCTGTATGCTTGGAAGTGGACACATAACGTGGTGTTACTGAAAAAACTAGGGGCATGGACAGTAAGCAAACATAGGTAGACTTACTCACAAGCCCAATGAGATAGACAGTCGACAGATATCAGGTAGGCTTACCAACCAGCCCAGGGACATGGGCAGTCGACACACATCGGGTAGAGTTACTGACCAGCTCATGGGCAAGGAAAGTTATCACACATCAGGTAGGGGGGCTGACTAGTTCAATGGCATGGACAGTTATCACACATTAGGTATGTTGACTGTCACACATCAGGTAGGGTGACTGGTTAGTTCAGGGGCATGAACAGTTAGCACACATTAGGTAGGGTGACTGACTAGTTCAGGGACATGGACAGTTAGCACACATTAGGTAGGGTGACTGACTAGTTCAGGAACATGGGCAGTTAGCACACATTAGGTAGGGTGACTGACTTGTTCAGGGGCATGAACAGTTAGCACACATTAGGTAGGGCGACTGATTAGTTCAGGGGCATGGACAGTTATCACACATTAGGTAGAGTGACTGACCATATCAGGGGCATGGGCAGTTACCGCACATCAGGTAGGGCGACTGATTAGTTCAGGGACATGAACAGTTAGCACACATTAGGTAGGGTGACTGACTTGTTCAGGGGCATGAACAGTTAGCACACATTAGGTAGGGCGACTGATTAGTCCAGGGGCATGAACAGTTAGGTAGGCTTTCACACCAGATTAGGGACATGGAGACTCGACACACGTCTGGTAGGGTTACTGACTTGCTTAGAGACATGGGCAGTAGACACACATCGGGTAGGGTTACTGGCCAGCTCAGGGGCAAGCAAAGTTATCACACATGAGGTTGGGTTACTGACCAGCTCAGGGGGGCATGGCCAGTTATCACGCATCGCGTATGTTTTCTCACCAGCTCAGGGACATGGAGACTCCACACACGTCAGGTAGTTTTATTAAATATATATGTTTTGCTCACAGATGTTATATCCATGGGCACATTCTATATAGCACTCTATCCATACTAATGTATGTTTTAATGGTTCTTATTACTTAAAATCGGTATATTGGGCAAGGTCATAATTACAGGAATGTAGGCAATATACTGTTGTCAAATAGTTTAACGATGCACTCAAGAGACAGGAAAAGACGAAATAGTTACTTGTTAGCTAGTATAGGCCCTGCCTCGTGCCCAATAGTCGATTGTATTTAAGATATTTACAATCGACTGTTATGAGGAGAAAAATACAGTGACATTATATTGCTTGTTTTCCTGTGTCTTTGTAAAAGAATGAATCGCTGTTGAGTTTGGATTATTGGTTTACTTTTCTAGAAGGACAAGAAGACAGTTTTGAAGAAGACAACACGAAACAGCGAGACCCTTGTCAGGAACAGTCATCTGGTGATAAGATAGAGCTATTGAGCGATGAAAGGTACGCCACGGGTCAGGCTTTTTTTTATCCAATCAATCCATCGTTTAAATTGTTTAGTAAAATTGTCATAAGCATGACAAACATAGTGGCCAACTGACATCACCTAAAGAGAAAACACAATAATTATATTGTGAAGTTTTTTGAATATTGCTTAAGAATCCAACATACAAATAAAAAAAAGTGCGTAATATAATATATATATATATATATATGTTATAAAGAACATCAACGTTATCTATTGCTGCAATTGCAATTCCGTCTTTTCGTATTGCAGAGTTATCTGCTCTTGGGAGCAGGTATTGATTGTTTCGTCATTTGTTTGTGAGAGTAACGTCATCAATGTTTGAGAAAACGACGTAATTTTCTCACACAAACCAATGACGTAACAATTAGTACCTGCTCACAAGAGAAGATAACTGCAATACGCAAAGACGGAATGCCAGTGTCGAAACTTTTCTTCCCGGGTAGGGGGTGGGAGAAAAGATGTGGACACTCGTACTTCATGCTGGCAGATGATGGACTCAAGTCATCTTCACATGCATTTTTACAGAGACCCCTTTTATTCCAGAAACATATAAATACTGTTTGGCAGCGACTGGTTTGTGATTGTTCTGATCTTTTCTTCGTTATTTGGAATATACTTTAAATTTTGTTGCAAAATAATGATTATCACACACATTAATTTTGGAGCAGTCACTATTCCGTCTCTGCGTATTGAAGAGTTATCTTCTCCTGTGAGCAGGTATTGATTGTTATTTCATTGGTTTGTGTGAGCAAATTACGTCGTTTTCTCAAAAATTGAACACTTTACTCTCACAAACAAGTGACGTAACAATCAATACCTGCTCACAAAAGAAGATAACTATGCAATACGCAAAGACGGAATAACAAGTGTATAATAACTTTTTTTGCAAATGCATATTCAGCATGAAGGGATATCATTGTTTTGATCTAGAGATATGTAGTCACACTCGAGAATGTTCAATGGCGGGAGTACAACAGTTTGACATAAACGGTCTAGTGCCAAATTATAGGTTATCAACATCACCTTTCTTCTTCTACATTTCATGCATTTTACATTTTTCAGTGAATAATCCTGAAAACAATTGTAAACCAACTGAAACAATCATTTGCAGCATCAAAGAGGCTTGTCTAAAAAAACTTCTCACAATATTCTTAGTTCTTTCCGTTTAGCAGTTTTCAAGAATTGCTCAATTAAAATTATTTCTGTTCTGCGATTTTGCTCTTTATCCAACATACCCTGTCTCCAGCACACATTCACGCATCATGCTTACACTACACACACGGAGGCACGTCCTTAAATGACCATATCTGTTAATAGGACGTTCAACAAAATAAAACCAAACCAAACCAAAACTACCAAAAATTGAATTACAAGATAAAGTTGCCATATCAGAAAACCGCCTAACGGAAAAATTTAAGAAATGCATAAATATATAAGAACAAATGTGTGGGACCTTTCATTTGGTACAAGCCTGTATTCATAATAAACATGACGGAATACAAGAGTTTGAAGTGAATGCATCTGTGACATGACAGCAGCAGAATGTTCTGATTTAAATACATATTTAGTCACCTTGACGGAAGTACAATGACTGAAGAGCAGCTGGTCAGGATAGGAAAGGGACTTGCACTCGGTGTGGCGTACGGGGCAAATATCGGAGGAGTAGCCACGCTTACGGGGACCACGCCCAATTTAATTCTTCAAGGACAGGCAAACAGGTAAGTCGTTCTTATTAACTAATAAAAACACATTTTTTTTAAATGACAGCTTGCAGTTCGATAGGAATGACATTGGTACGCCTTAATTCTTGTTTACTGATTTTTCTTGTCCCACCAATTGAAACCCTGTATGTATTTCGTTTCCTTGTTTTTTTATTACTTGTTTTCGTGTTGGCGATAACAATTCTTTCTTTTCAGTTTATACCGGTCTCGGAAGGCGGGAGCTGACTCTGGTGTTACTTTTGCCAACTGGATGGGATTCGGTGTGCCGTTATCGGCTTTACTGTTCTTCACTGCATGGGTGTGGCTTCAGCTATACTCCCTTCGAGACATGTAAGGAAGGTTCCTCGATATCGATACAATTTTTGAAATTTGAATTCAGGTAATGACAGAGCAAACGTTTTGTTGCCTTTTGTCTCTACGAACTAGAATATTGCACTACAGTTTTTTTTTCGTTTATGTATTTACCTCCCCTTAATTTCGTATTAAATATAATGTAGTAATGTAATAATATAAAAATAGAGCAACAATATAATAATCGATGTTCGAATCTGCAAGGCTTCAAATCCTGTTATTGACTCATTGCGTTGTGGCAGTGAGATCCTTAATGCATACATGGGAAAAGTTTCCAGGTTATATAAACTGTTTCGGCAGTGGTACGGGGATCCTGAAACTGTTTCGGCAGTGGTACGGGGATCCTTAAGTCATACAGGGGAAACGTTTCCAGTTTGAAGATACTGTTTCGGCAGTGGTACAGGGATCCTTAAGTCATACAGGGTTGGTTTGGTTTGGTTTAATTTTGTTTAACGTCCTATTAACAGCTAAGGTCATTTAAGGGCGTGCCTCCATATGTGTAGTGTATGCGTGCCTGCGAGTGTGTATGCAGGAGACAGGGTATGTTAGTGTGCGTGCCTCCTTGTGATAGCGCGGATCTGATGCCGACTTTATAGTGCTATCTCACTGAAAAGCCATGCCGAAGGCACCTAGCACAGCATTCCGCCCTGTCACATTATACCGACAACGGGTGAACCAGTGGTTGCCATTCCCTTAATGCTGAAGTTAAGAAGTGAATAATAACTACAATTTTAAGGACTTTGGTATGTCCCAGCCTGGGGACGGAACCCATTGCCTTCCTCACCAGGACGAACGCTCAACATTAAAGTCAAAAATAACGTGTTGTCAGGCAAGGCGCTAGGAAATAAATGGCAGTTATAAGTAGAAAGAAAGCTAAAGATCCCAAATATTGCAAGGGGCGCAGCAGATTTATTTTGGTTGCTTTTGTGTCCCCAAATAGAGGACGCCAAAGCAACTCCCTAATTATGCAGGGGGTTCACACATTAGTCGCCTCCTACGATACATGCAGTGGGTAACAGCAGGTGTATTGTTTTCCCGATCCTCCACCTGCAGGGATGAGTCATACATGGGAAAAGTTTCAAGTATATATATATTTTTGGTTGGCAGTGGTACGGGATCCTTAGCATTGTTGTTAAAATAGCATACGGACGGGATAGAGCCGTATGTGTAGCATACGCTTCACAACAACATTCGTGTTAATGGAATGGGTCTTTTTTTCAAATGAAAGTGTCTTAAGTTCTACTATGTCTCGGTATGTACAATCAATGTAAACGTACATACCAATCACTTACTTCTTATTTAGTGGAATGGAACCTGTGATCGTCGATAGTTGAGCTAAATATTAGATTTTACAGTTGTGCTTAATTACCTAGATTTAACCCAAAACTGTTATTGTAATTCAAGTTATTCATCTTTAGACTTATCTTTCACTCGTGCAACAGTAACGGTTTATGCAACAGTAACGGTTTATAACTTTTTAACTGGAAAGCAACCATAACGCTTTATAACTTTTTAACTGGAAAGCAACCATAACGCTTTATAACTTTTATACTGAAAAAAACCCTGTAACATAATAAATAATATTCAGTAAGCGAAATATTGCTAAAACATTGTGAGAAACCCATAATTAAGTTGCGTAAATGATCGCATCTTAAATAATAATAAAAAAAGTTAATGGCGATACACGTGGTGTATTTTTTTTATTTTTTCGATAACTTTTTTCTCGAAATGTTGTTAAATAACTAGAAACAGAAATGTATCTCAGTTTTCACGAAACGATTGTAATATGTTACAAACTTCATTTTTACTGTTTTTTGATTTAGATTGTGTATTTGTGCAGGTGTTTTAGACGAATCGGTGAGACCAATAAGGCTCGTGTGAAAAATGCGCTTAGAAATGAGTACAACAAACTGGGACCCCTAAGGTAAATATCAGTTAGAATAATTGCTTGCAACAAATTCGGAGCCATTGGGTTAATATATTAGTAAGAGAATATACTACAACAAACTGGGACCCCTAAGGTAAATATAAAATTTAATTTTAAGTTAGTTAATTGAATACAACTAATTGGAAGCGATAGGGTTTATATTAACGAGTGACATAGTTAAAACAATTTGGAAGTCTATCCGTATAAGATGTTAACGCTCCACTCGACTGATGAGACTTGCGTGGTAGAAGGTGATCGGAATTTTGCTATGAATCCATGACAGTTTCCACGGTTAAAGCTAATTAAAAACATAGAAATGAGGAACATACATTATATTCACACAATAGGTGATGGTATAGGAAAGTGTATCATTTTTGTTTTAAATTCCTATCAATTCGGTTAATATATAAACGCTAAATCCAAATCATCATCTATTGTTTATATAAAAGGTTCTCAAGCAGAAAATTGTGCACGTGAGGGAAATGTGTCGATTTCTATGCCTTATCGTCTTTATTTGTTGGTTCATTTCAAACGAAAGCATCATATTCCGTATACACTTTTCACTCCATCCACATTATTGCAATCAGCTTTTCGGTTGTTCTTATCTCGGATGCCGTAAAACAATGACTTATGGCAGGTATACATAAACAGCATCTTTGTTTATACAAGTTATGCCCAAAGAGCATACTATCTATAATTTGTATACAAACACCATACTACTCATGGCAATTTATATACAAAAAGCATACTTTACAAAACACTTATATACAATAACAATACTACAAATGACAGTTACATAATAAAAGCATACTTATATGACATACTACATATTAGAGTTATGAAACAAATACTATATTCAATATATACAAAAACATCATACATAGAGCAAATAAACACCCCACTCTGCAGTCGTTGTACATCAGTCGCCTCTTACGATCATGCAATGGGTTACAGCAGGTCTATTTATTCTCAGTTCTGCAAAAAGTATCTGTTTACAAGTAACAGCTATTCCGTCTTTGCATATTGCAGAGTTGTCTTTTCTTGTGAGCAGGTATTGATTGCTACGTCATTTGTTTGTGAGGGTAAAGTCATCAATTTTTGAGAAAACGACGTAATTTTCTCACACAAACCAATGACGTAACAATCAATACCTGCTCACAAGAACGATAACTCTGCAATACGAAAAGACGGAATATATACTTAAAGCATACTTTGTCTGGTATAAAGCCTTCCTCTTATGACAGTTTTCAGGAGGTTGTGGTTGTAGTGCTGTTTTTTATTCTGGTGCTGCTGTGGCTGTTCCGGGATATTCCGGGTGTTGGAGGCTGGCGATTCCTGTTTCCAGAGTCTCCTGTCTCGTGAGTGACGTTTGTTTTCGTAACTTCTACAACTCTGCCTAAAACACTATAACTGAAAGGTGAAAACAAATGTTATCTGTCTCCTATAAAAACAATTAGTCAGATTGTGTCGTTTAAACCAATTAGTTGTCGATCAAAGGTATAAAATTCAATATAATGAAGACTTTTTTTTATAGGGGACCATACGTCCGTGATTCCAGCGCCGCCATATTTATTGCTGTCCTGCTGTTCCTTTTACCGTCCAAAATTCCTAGAATTTTATGTTGTCGACCTGACACCGGTAAGTTGATATTTCCTTTTACCGTCCAACATTTCTAGAGTTTTACGTTGTCGACGAGACACCGGTAAACTTATATTGCCATCACGTTATTTCACGTCAAATCATTTCTAAATTTATGGAAGTTAGTTTGTGGTAGGAGGGATTGCGTACGATTGCATATATAGCTACAGATATGTACCAAGATCGGATATACTCTCTTGGAATACCAGGACAAGCATTACTACGCAGTATTTTGTATAAGAATGAGCGTTTGTTTTGTTTCTTTTTTAAGGAAACATGATGTATTTTTCTTTTTGATTTGGTGTCTTCTCGGTTCATGTTTTTGTCTTTCCTTTTGCTTTGATGTTTTCGCAGTTCCCCTATTACGTGTCGACTTTGAGAACAGGTTTTTGTAACAAGGAGGCATGTTTAATCATTTGACAATAACATTAGACGACATCCGCTTTGTTCAATTTCCATTGCCGTGGATAATGTGTCCTCTGATAGCTTTGTGATTGTTGTGATGTCCATGCATGTCCTCTGCCAGATGACGGTGAAAATGACCAGACCGAGTACAGACCTATCCTAGACTGGAAGACCACGGTACAGAAGATACCCTGGGGAGTTGTTCTTCTTCTGGGTGGGGGTTTTGCTTTGGCTGAGGGAAGTTCGGTAAGTCTACTACGGTGATGTATTAATGACTGCAGCTTAATGAAATTGTTGAAGGTTCATGTTGACCAAAACAGCGATGGAAAATCTGGTCAAGTTGACAACACTTTACTTACTCTAGTCTATGTCTCCAAAAGGATACGATAAATGATGTCAACATATATGATTGAATTCAATACAGTTTTAACCTACAGAGCCTAGTATTTCGCTTAGTAACCATTGCCAGTTTTTTATAATATAAACAGGTATCCGGGTTATCTCGCTGGGTTGGCTGTCAACTACAAGTGTTCAGTGGCCTTGAACCGTGGGTCATGAACTTGATTATCTGCCTCATTGTGACCGGGGTTACAGAGATTACAAGCAACACTGCTACAGCTACTCTTCTGATGCCCATAATGGCGGAGCTGGTAGGTTATGAGACCAATAAAAAAAGAATTTCGGCCAATTTTGCAAAATGTGTTTGCCTTTATTTTTAATGATTATAAATACAATGGCATAATAACTGCTGTGTATTCTCCGTATTTAAAGAAGAAAAAAAGTGTTATTTTAAGTAGTAAATTACTACTAATTAAGATTTGAACAAAAATGACAGGCTTTATATATGCTATTTAAATTATAAATCTAGTTGATTTATATAAATGAAAACCCCGAAATATTGTTTCTACTTTAGGCCATCAACATAGGAGAACATCCTCTCTACCTTATGATATCAAGCGCCATTTGTTGCTCGTTCGCTTTCATGTTGCCCGTGGCTACACCTCCAAACGCTATCGTCTTCTCCACTGGCTACCTCCGGATATCAGATATGGTAATGGACAAGCATGATAAATAGAGGATAGCATTGTGTAGTGGGAGGGTAGACATGGTACGAAAGTGCTAACCTGGTAACGAGTTATAACGGCATAATATTCATGGTAATAAGAGCTAGGCATGGTAACGAAAGATAACGGAAAGATTGTTATGATAACAAGAGCGAGGCATGGTAACGAGAGATAACGGAAAAACAGTCATGATAATAAGAGCTAGACATGGTAAAGAGAGATAACGGAAAGACAGTCATGGTAATAAGAGCTAGGCATGGTAACGAGAGATAACGGAAATATTGTCATTGTAATAAGAGGGTAAGCATGGTAACGAGAGATAACGAAAAGACAGTCATGATAACAAGAGCGAGGCACGGAAACGAGAGATAACGGAAAACAGTCATGGTAATAATAGCTAGGCATGGTAACGAGAGATAACGGAAAGACAGTCATGATAAAAAGAGCTAGGCATGGTAACGAGAGATAACGGAAAAACGGTCATGATAACAAGAGCTAGGCATGGTAATGAGAGATAACGGAAAGACAGTCATGGTAACATGAGTATGTACATGTTGACGAGAGGTAGTGTAATGGCAAAAATATGTATGATAACGATAAGAGCAGTAGGGTAGACAGTAACTGCAGGGTCGGTATGGTACGGCAAAGTAACGGTAAGGGTTGGCCGGTCGTGGTAATAGTAGGACAGCTACGGTACCGGAAGGCCAGATGCTATAACAGTAGTACATGAACGGGTGGGGCAATGGTACGGAAAATGAGCGCATGGTAGTAGAAGGGAATGTATAGTTAAGGGGAAAGCAAAAAGGAAAAGGGATATGAGAACGCGAGAGTGTACATGGTACGTAGAGGTGATGGTACAACAGCTCGTATACTAATGAACATCATTTCTTTTGTAGGCTATAGCGGGACTGGTTATGAACGTGCTATCAGTGGCAGTCCTCACATTAGCCATCAACACATGGGGAGCTCCACTCTTCGGATTGGACAGCATTCCTGATTTCTTGAAAGATATAAAGACGAACATGTCATCGTGTGACAGCCCAGCAAACACGCTTACTGAGTCGCCAAGTTTCACATCCACTGTAGCCTGGACCCGGTAAAGTCATTGGTAGGCCCACAAAAGTTTACGTCCATCGTATCCTTGACTCAATATGGACAGATGCTGGCTGATTGACCACTTAAACGTTTTTTGTGGCTGAACCCAATGGAGTTGCTCCCCGAGCCTATAGGTTGCACCCTTCCGTGGCATTGAGCTTAAATTGTAGAGAGTTGGTCGGTTCTCCAAATTTCCCAATCCACCGCGGCTTGGACCAAATAAATTTGTTGACCCACTTGCCAAGCTTCATGTCTAACCTGGCCTTTCCCAGAACAGATGCTGACCGATTCACATTGTCTGGATTGTTCTTGGTCACAACTTCATCACACATGGACAAAAAATAGCATATAGCGTCAACACGGATCAGGAAAAAATATCACAAATGTTAACATATCAGGAATATACCACAACCTCAACATCATGAAAATATTCAATACCCTTCGAAATGAAATTTCCTTAGCATTCAGTAAGATTGGTCATTAAATAAATACAAACTGGATACCTGTACACGGCACAACAGCTATGTATGAAAACCAAACATTCTACACGGTAACCACAATTCAATAAAAAGATTTGATTGCGTCGCTGATAAGCAATTAATTTTTCAGATTTCGACAGATTGTGTGTCGTTTTATTATACAAATATGACACAATCCATTTCAATTTACTTAATCGAAATCGTGTCTGCAAATGTAAGTAATCCACCAAAAGATAGTTCCACAACAATGTTCAGATCTGATGTTTTTTGTCTGAGAGATGTCAATAAATGCGAGCATGTATGGTGATTCTGTTGGGCTTTTTAAGTATGATTGGTCCAGAAATACATGTTTGTTTTCAGTGTATATAAAGAAATCATTGGAAAGACGGACATAGAAACGTAATTTGTGCTTCTTGTACAAATGTACATAATCTCTGGGGATGTTTATCGGAGCGTAATCTGACAGCCTGTCTAGGGTTAAGAAGCTTACCTATCTAACATCCTGCACGAAGGGGGAGCAATTTACCCTTCATGTACTGTGTAAGATCATGTTATTTATATACATACATACCAACATAATTTTACAAACTCTAAGAATTATAACGAGGTATCACCATTTTCTGCCTCATTCTTCTTCCAATTACGAAGGTCTGTATTTATCACTTACACTTTCGAAATTACAATAGACTAGTCACCGATTTTTATTAATGAAAGCATGCACATCCAGTCACTAAAATTTGAGTTTAATTACTGTGGCATAAATTGGGATAGTTATCATCATGTTTACATAAACTTCTTGTATATCACAAATATTACAACGATGACAGGTTAATATGTATCGATCCTCATGATGCCACATGATGAACAAATCAGATTGAATGTTTCCAGAAAGAGGCATCCCTTTGTCAATTTTTAAAACATTCTCGTTCGATAGTCAGTTGTCAATTATAATTGATTGTGTGAATTATGATTTTCGCTCATCGCATTTGAAAACAATTAGTTGCATATCCTTCCCAAAGCTCAAACACATGCGTGTTCTAATCTTTTATCCGATAGTGGTTCTTGATCTTCACGATATGATGGAAATTCAAAGTACCGAGAGCACCAGAAGTTTGGAAATGGAAGGCAGCCAGGTACGTTGGTGAATCGTGTTGAAATAGTCATGGAAACATACGACTGATAATGCGATTATTTACTCATGGACCACTGTTAAAGATACAATGCAAAACTTCATATAATTATCTATGAAATGACCCGGGACGGGCATAACAGTCTGAAAACGTTGAAAAATTTGCATATGTAACAGGCTGTAGGTATGACAAGCCGATTTGATATTTATTTCCCAGAGTACTTACAAGTAAAATTTAGCACATCTTTTGCAGATCAGTTTTAAAAAGTCAATATTTAAAATAAATTACATGAAGTATTAAATCGTTTTTCGTAAACGGTGAAATGTCAATCTGCCAATCAATGGCAAAATATTTTTTTCTCTTTTTGTTTGTTTGTTTGCAATGAAACTATCAAGCTTTTTTCGTTGATATATATGTGTACTCCTTGAGAAAAATATATTTAAAGGATAATAACATGTGTTTTATGTGACATGTTGCACTTTGCACTTGAGGGGAAATTCAGCATGCCTCAACGGTATATAAATATCAATAAAGCTGACATTAAGGGGGAACAACCATTGCCATATATCATAGAAAAGAAGTTTATGCACTGAAATCTAAATTATTTTGCCCTTCAGTGATATATTTTATATAAAAACCTAAGAGTATAAATGGTAATGGGCAGGTAATTTGTAATTTATACTACTAAGTTATGTAATCGGAACACTTATATAAATATAAACACTAGTAACACACCAACAGTTGTTGAAGTTTATTGTTTGAAAATAAGGACAAAGTAAATTACAGTTACAGAAGATAACGTTTATACAGCAAGCATTTATTACTCCTAACAAAAAATATTTAACACAAAAATAATTGTTAATAGTATATATGTAAATTACAAGTATCTAAAACCAAAAAAATATGTCGGTTCAACATATATATACACATGTGCATTAAATAAACAGGGTCGTGCATAAAAACAGTAACGGATAACGACCATAGTAAAACAATACACTGCAGATTCAAGTCAATGAAAAAAAATGAATATATATAAACAGAAAGATACCACATTGTACTGCTAACCCCCACACCAGACATCTATCTGTCAAAATGTACAAGTCTGGTGTCAGGGCCAGAGGAAACTCGGGCTAATTATGATGCATATATGTCAAAGAGATTCTTGCATCCAACTGTAAACAATAAAAAAATAAAAACAAGTGATTGATGGACATATTTTAACACGTGTGGTGGTTCATGATAGAAGGAAAGGAGAAAACAAAACTTAACAGCTAACTATCAACAGTTAAACAATTCGCATGTTAAAAAGAACCAGGTAAGCCTAATCTAATTTGAGATTCACGAGCCTAGCTTTGAAGAAGTTGAAAGTGTACGAGAACAAAGCGACGATTGGTTCTAATTTCCCTGGTGTCTATTCAATCCAAGTTCTCGCTAAATTAATAGAAAACCCGTAATATACTAAACACTTAAAACGCTCTGCAATAAACAGTAAAATGAACTGATAATGAAATGAAAGCATATATTTTGCTATGCTGGCAAAAAAATAAAATTTCAACATCTTTGTATCCGATTATATATATATACCTTTGTATATAAATGTGGATTATATAAACTAATAACGTCATTATTTTAACGATATTTACAACACTCAATAAGATATATTTCGGATATTATAGTAAATATTATGCTCAATATATTTATAATAAGTGATGTCATACCTAGCAATATCTATTTACTAAGTTGATATGTATGCATATACTAGAAAGACACACATTAATATTTACTAGATATTTGCTGAATTTAGCGTTATATAAGTACCAACACATCCACTAAACCAGGAAGGGTACGGAACAGAACTCGGCTGATTTTCTTAGATGCCGAGTAGTTGACCGCCAAAAAGGGTACGACGAATAATAATTGAAGAATTTGATCCCGAAATCATATGAGCGGAAACAAGAAAAAAACAACTGTATTTTAAAAATCATACTTTGCCAGAAAATATCATATACATGTATGTGTTTGTATATTTATATATCACATTTAAGGATTGTCTAAATTCATAATGTAAATATATTATATAAACAAGACAAATTACAATACTATTCTTTGTATACATGTTTAAAGTAAAACGTTCAGATCGTTGTCAATTGATGTGCATCCGAACTTTAAAAAGGACGCATAATAGAATCGAAAAAAAATAACAGCCAAAAAGGTGCATATAATGGATACTTTGTATTAATAGTAACGCAAACAATAGCTTGTTGATGTCAACAAACTTGAATTCCGTCTTTGCGTATTGCAGAGTTATCTTCTCTTGGGAGAAGTCATTGATTGTTACGTCACTTGGTTGAGAGAGTAACGTCATCAATTTTTGAGAAAATGACGTAATTTTCTGGCACAAACCAATGACGTAACAATCAATACCTGCTCCCAAGAGAAGATAACTCTGCAATACGCAAAGACGGAATAGCTCCTCCAACAACATATATCGTTGATAACCTCAAAAGAAATCGAAAAATAATGCATTACTCCTTTTCAATGGTATCTTGTTGATCACGTGAATGAAATATGCCCAAATACTGACTATAAGTATGAGGTGACCACGTGGGCCTGAAAAGTGGAGACAAGAACAAAACAATGCAAATTGTAAACATAAATGGACTTCAAATTTTTGACAAAGAATCTAAACCAAAAATAAGATATTTTCGACATGGATTTTTTTTGTTTGTTTGATTTTGTTTAACGTCCTATTAACAGCTAAGGTCATTTAAGGACGGCCTCACCTGTGTGCAAGATGCATGCGTGTAGTGTATGTGTGTGTATTTTGGGAGGCTGCGATATGTTCGTGTTTGTCTCCTTGTGATAGCGCGGAACTGATGCCGACTTTATAGTGCTACCTCACTGAGACATACTGCCGAAGACACCCAGCAGGCCGCCCCACCCGGTCACATTATACTGACAACGGGCGAACCAGTCGTCCCACTCCTAATTTGCTGAGCGTTAAGCAGGAGTAGAAACTACCATTTTTAAAGACTTTGGTATGTCTCGGCCAGGGGACAAAACCCAAAACCTTCCTCACAGGGGCGAACGCTCAACAAATGGCCAAAAGTGAGGCATTGTCAAGGGAGACATTAGGAAGAAGAAAGTTATTTAGAAAGGAGAGAAGAGATAAGGTCCCAAATTTAGTCGCCTCTTTCGACATGGAAACCATACATTTGATAAATAAGTTTAATGCATGTCGTATGGAAACATATTTAATAATGACTTTGACCTATAAATGTGGAATGGTTTACTTGTTTTTTTGTAAATATTTTGGCTTTTTGTAGTGAGCATTATTGGAAAGATGTTAGAAATATGGAAACTTGACAAAGAAGAGACAGATATTGCGAAAAATAGTGTTATCAATGAGCAATGTGTCATATCGATTTTGAATGAAACATCACAGAAACCAATTCATTACGCAGCGATAATGGGAGGTAATGATTATACTCCAAGCAGTAAGTGTAAACCGTTAACAGTAGAACTGGAAACACAATGAAGCGTGAGGCAATGATTAAAGTTTGTTCAAATCATTTTTCAATTATCTTTTCCCATCACTAGTAGAAAATCCATCGCTAGGAGGTTTAAAAGGTGGGTTTTCCCCGGGTTATCATGTTTCCTCCCACATTAAGATCCCCCGCACGCTAACATCCGGGCAAACAAGAGTGATTATATCAGTTGTAATAACCTGTTTCATAATTGTTGTAAACTTAAGTTTATGTTATGTATGGGTATTTAGAGATTGTTTTTCGAACATGTTTGGCAAGTTCTACGCCTGCAAAATTGGAGAATACTACTTAAGTAACACAGTTCAAAATGAAAGCAACTAAATAAAACATTCCAGCTAGGCATTGGATACTTTTCTAAATTGTCAGAATTATCGCTAGTGTTTGAATTTAACTAGATATTGGAGACCGATGATACCAGAAATGCTATTCCGTCTTTGCGTATTGCAGAGTTATCTTCTCCTGGGAGCAGGCGTTGATTGTTACGTCATTGGTTTGTGTGAGAAAATTATGTCGTTTTCTCAAAATTTGATGACGTTACTCTCACAAACAAGTGACGTAACAATCAATACCTGCTCCCAAGAGAAGATAACTCTGCAATACGCAAAGACGGAATAATGTCAACAAGATAATGAGTATTACTGTTGCATTCCATTGTATAATATACACAGAATTTCGAACAAAATCTGTAGTAAATTTCACCCTTAATTGGCATGAAAAAATATATAAAATAATCTACAAAATATAAAAAGCATTGCAACAAAGAGCTCTTCTACCTGGACTTCATATTCAGTAATAAGGACAAACCTATAATATACATCGTTGTAAGCTTTTTAGCTTTTGGAGATGTCACACGTACTGTATACATTTCACACTTGTTGATTTGCTCCCAAATGATCAGTAAAAGTTCACATATTTGAAAAACACATGTGGTGTCCATGGTACTAATTGTAAAAAGAGGGCCGGAATTTGGCCCTGTTGGTAATGTTATGGTTGTTCAGTAAGTTTTAAAGCTGTTTAGGCTCATTGCTGTAGCAATCATTTCCAGTAGACTGTTCCATGTTGTCATTGTTCTATTGCTGAAGACATTTATGTTTACTTCAAGGCGAAACGGTTTCTTGAAAAGCTTTTTTGGATGCCCCCTGGTCCCCATATTTGATGCTGGTTTAAGCATATGTTCATGGTCTACATGGTCGATATTACAGATTTCTACGAGGTCGGTTCTACCCCTTCTATATTCGAGTGTAGGCAGTCCCAGTGTTCGTAGCCTTTCATCGTATGGTAGATTTGATATATATTTTTGATCCGATTTGTAGCCCTTCTTTGCACACTTTCAATGAAGATTTTGTTTTTGATAATAGCTTGACAGACGCAACAAATTGATACAACAGATTTCTAGCACTTCTGAGATTCATGATTACACACATTGTATTGAAAATTAGAAAAGCAACATACTTCCATTAAATTATACTTCAATAAAAAAAAGAGTTCCTTTTCGGTATGTTTCCTTTTATGATTGTGGACCAGCAAATGTTAATGCAGGCCTTAAAGGTCTTTGCCATGACTCGCAAGGAAACAAAATCAAACCTTGAGGCATGTTCTTATTTTATAAACGAACAACCCTAGTTCAACAGGCCCACCTGTATGGGATGCAATAAAGAAACTGACACCGGTTTTCTTTCTGTTTGACATTTGTGAAGGAAGACGGTTTCTTCAACAAAATTGAGGCCTAAGCAGAACCTACTGATGACTTCTGTTGTGTTTGATTAGCATCATTGAATAAACAGCTTGAGTAAATATTTTTCTGAAGTCAATACACATTAAGCATCTAATAATGTTTCTTATGATGGTCTATAGCTTTTCATTTGTACAAAATTTACTGCATGCTAATTATACAAACTCTATTACATTCTAGTGACAAAACAACTTTTTTCCATCCATAAAACCGATTATTGCACGCGCACAACAGAAGAGCATTAATGTTGGTAAACATCCCTACTGTATAACACCGATTACAAATATCTGTGGTTTGTGGAGTTATTTACACAGCAAAAAATGCAAACCAATAATAAATGTAAAATCAAGGAACCGGTAAATGCTCTTCACAGTAAGTGTGAACAAAAAAGCAAATCAAACTATCAAATAGCATTGTGATACCGAAAAACATCCAATAAAATCGATTTAAAATCATTTAAAATCATAAACCCATTTAGGTCACATTTGATTTATGAAGAATTTCAATATATATCGTAAAGGTATATCCTTCTTCCTTTGACATTCCTCTCCCTTCCATGCAAGTTTTGATTTATTGGTAGCACATTTGAAAGGTACACACAAATTGATGACACATTTGAAAGGTACACACAAATTGATGACACATTTTAAAGGTACACATGATTTGATGACACATTTGAAAGGTACACACAAATTGATGACACATTTGAAAGGTACACACAAATTGATGACACATTTTAAATGTATACACGAAATTGACGACACATTTGAAAGCTACACAAGAATGCATACATTGACAACATTCTAGTGACATTTTTTTATGAATTGTTTGCCAATATTACCGTAATTTCCTACGGATAGCCTGCTACACCGTATAGCCCGCACAGCCTCAAATTAGCAGCATATGTATAAAATGTTAACAGATAGCCCGCACCGACATATACCCCGACTTATACAGCGGACAATTCTGTTAACAGCTGTTTATTGCTGAATTTAAAGGGGGTCCTACATATAGTGCTATAGATTCATGAAACAAACGAACTTGTCAGTCATATCTCATACTACAGTCGGACAAGCACGTAGATGAACATAGAGGGAGCTATTACTTATAAAAATCATAGAATTCAGTGCAATTTACTGTTAAACCAAACACTAATTTATACAACAAGGGGCAGATACTGTATACCAGGAAGCTTTTGTTCAGTCAAAAGTTTGCCCTTGTTAATCCTTTCAACCCTAGGTTACTTTAGTAGACTCTACCATACATTTATTTGGATGAGTCAATTTTGGTCTACAGTGGTGAAAGGGTTAAGTTTGACCTTCACATGTAAGAACTATGACTAGTATGTTGTGTGGTTATTTTTGTTTTTGTGATAATTTTCCCCTCGTGAGGGAGGGTGAAAAAACAGCGTTTAACATTGGCAAACAGTGAAGCTTGTTCTAACATATTAATTTAACAAACAATTCTATTTTTGACTGAAGAAAAGATTAAGAGAAAAAACAGAATTGGTTTCTCATTTCCCTGTTAACACTGGGAAAGCATGATGTGATGTAAACATTATCACAAACTGATTCAAGTTGACAAAATAATAATAAAAAAAATCCTTATCTCATTGACTTAGAAGACTCATGACAATTCTAAGATAAATATATTCTTGTAGGTATATGTAAAAATCACTACCAAACTACTGTCTACATTTTCTTCAAGGTCCTGAAATAATCTGGCTTGATATCTTAAGTTTGACCGTTTTTGAAAGAAAAAATGGTTTCATTTCAAATGAAAAGCTTAACTTTTATGTAAACTGTTAAAAAGATCACCAACTACCCCAAAAAAGCTTAATGACTAAAGAAAAGCACATAGCGTTATCACACATCTAAAGTGTGTTATAACTTGTACAGTTCAAAATCAATAAACAATAAATATACAATCATGCACATCATCCTCTTAAGACAAATTGTTAGTTTGCCCTCAAGTTCTGTTCAAAATAGAAGATTTTGGTGATACGTTGTCTTCCCTTAACCACTTGTATCATTCAATCAACATAATATATGTTTTTCAGGAAAAAAAAACCATGCAAGTGACAACAACAATAACATTGGGAATGTTTGTAAACCACAAAATACAATAATCTGAAATAATCTGGCAATTTCAGTTCATATCAATTTTATGTCCACTTTTCATGTCTTAAACCATGAAATGTTCCTGGTATTTGGTGGTTTTTCTAGTTGTATTTTCTGCAACTAGTCTTCAAGATTTCAGACCTTGTGATTCATGTGAGGAAACATTTGAAATATTTGAATATTTTTAAATATTTGAAATATTTGACACATTTGACCCTTGACTTTGAATATCGGTTGATGTAATTAAGTTAAACAATGTTGATAGATGGCACTTACCATGTCAAATATCATGACCAGAGGCCTTATAGGTCTTAAGAAGAAGTCATTAAAAGTAAATAAATGATCAAAAAGTCACTATTACCTGACAGAAACTCTTTGTTACTGGTGAACCAAACATCATATCGCATGTATTTCATTTAGATGGTTTTTAACAACACAGTGCTTATCTTATAGGGATGATTACGAAAGTCTCCCAAATGGGGAAAAGATTTTCCAAGTGCAAGGTGAGAATTTGTTACACAAAAGTATTATCAATATCAACTTGGGGGAAGTACAGAAAAAATATCTGTAAAATTTGAGCAAATTTGACACAAAAGATGTTTCAGCACTTTATGTTGATATGACACATCAATCAATCAGAATCAATGGTGGCCGTCTTTAATTTGGTTCGTGTCAAAACAACCATGATATCAAAAGTTTTGGTGGCCATCTTATATATGTATCTTGTATAAATCTTTTCTTTTCGTGATGATTATAAAATAATATAATTAATATCAGCAGTTAGTAAAAACAGCTAAGCCCCATCACTTGGGAGACTTACTTAGCTCCAAAAACAACAGATTGAGTACAACTATATATCTATATATCTACGAAACATTTACCAACATATTGAGCAGCACATCCTACGTGTATAGATAGTGTTATTAGGAGGGGATATGCTTTGCCGGATTGTATACAAGCTGGCCGGATAAAATTCTCCTCTTCAATTCACTTGCCAGAAGTTTTTTCTCCTTTTTCACTTTCTTCAAGATGCCACGATTCTCCATCGCTCGACGAGACAAGTAGGGAAGCACCTCCTCTACTGGGCCATAGGGTACGTACTTATAAACAGAGTAACCGGCCTGACCTGTTCATCGTGAATTGAACACAAAATTAATGTATTATTTAGAAGTAAGTGGATTATGAATTGTGATAGTTCACTCACACAAATGTATTCATTTAAGGCGAGTTCACATTGACTTAATTTCTAATTTCAATTTGATCACCAAAATCATGAACATATAATACTTATATACCTGCATTAAGAACAAAGACATTCATGTAGGCCTACACCCTAGATACTTTTCACAGCAATATATTTCTCTGATGTCCCTTACCTAAAGGGAAACTGACTTGATCACACATGCCCAGCAGCTGGCCGAAACAGATGAGGCGATCAGCTGGCCGGATTTGAAACTCCTTCATCCTGTAATATACAAAAGTCACCTTTTTAGTGTTTTTATCTTTGCATAAAGATTTTGTTCTGTCATGTCGCAACAGAGATGATTATGTAAATATGAAGGGGGACATTCGTCCTCGGGAAACTTGATTTATCTTGAGGAAACAAATATTCATGTTTCCTACTACATCAGTTAAGATCATTTAGACTACTAATTACTTGCAGCTATCCTTTGAAGTTGTGAAGAACACATGTACATCCCGCATCAGAGATCTTCAAATGAGGCTTCAAGAGAAAAAAATCACTGTATGACAGAAACTCAATTGCACGAGGGAGACTCACTTGTATGGGGAATACACGGCGCTTTGTCCCCTGGTCATGTGATATATTTAAACCAATCAGACATAATGTAGCACAGATGATCTAGTGTATAATAGGAAACAAGAGGCCCAGAGGGCCTGCATCTCTCATTGGGTATTTAAACAATTGTAGCATTACATTCGAAGCACTTTTATACATTTAAGCAAGCAATGTGCACATAATTGAACAAATAAAAGGGTGGTATTTAAATGACGTCTTTGCAAGGATTCTAAAATGCAGACGTGAAGAGGTGAGTTTTGATGTCCCTCTTGAACTTGGCATTTGACTTTCTAATAGCAGATGGTAAGCTATTCCACAACGTAGCCAAAACCCTCCCAAAGCATTTGTTTCCGTAGGTCACAGTACCAGATTTTGGGACACACAACAAAGATTCTGACTCTGACCGCAGTGATCGTGACGGCTGCTACAGGGTAACAAGCTCCTATCAAGTCGCCCTAAATCTACATTTGTACATCCTGCCACCATGATGTAAGAACTTACAAAACAATAAATTTAGTAGAAAACATCATGAAACCTACCACATGTGAAGCTGAAAATACTTACTTTTCTTGACCACCTGGTTCTGCCAGGTTTTTTAAGTGGGAATTCAAGTCTTTTCTAAATAATTTTTTATCACCTATGAATATTTCAATTTTTACTGTGGATTGACACTGAACTGTATAATTTACTTGATTACAATAATTAATGAATAAGTTCCAATCTATATAAATTATTTGTTGATGAAATGATATACAAATCACTCTAGAAACAAAGCCTACTGACAGTAAACATGTGTGACTTACTTTTCTACGGTATATCTGACTGTATCCTCATTGTGACTGGCGACCATCACTGCCATCTTGCCACGTTCTCTCTCCTACTGACAGTAAACATGTGTGACTTACTTTTCTACGGTATATCTGACTGTATCCTCATTGTGACTAGCGACCATCACTGCGATCTTGCCACATTCTCTCTCCTACTGACAGTAAACATGGCTGACTTACTTTTCTACGGTATATCTGACTGTATCCTCATTGTGACTGGCGACCATCACTGCGATCTTGCCGCGTTCTCTACAGTTGATCTGTTTCATCACTTCCTCCAGGGTATGATGGTACATGTCTGACGTAGCCTCGTAGGAAGGATTGATGGGGTCCTCATATCCAATCTCGGCTGCTCGATCTCTCTCCTGGTGCAATCAAATAGACATTTCATTTATTCTCCTTAAATTTTCTTAAATCTTTCTCCAGTGTTAGAAAAAACATACATCTCACACAGTCAGTGAAACGAAAGTCTTATATATAAAACCGAACTCATTTGACAATGAAAGTGTATAAACTACTGTACCTGCTCCATGTATGCTCCACGAACCAACTTGGCCCCGAAGTAGAAGTCCTCTCGACGTGCCAAGTCCATGTCTAAACAGGCGTTATTGTACGCACTCTGTAAAAATACATCAGCACTCCGTGTGATCATAGCCAATGGTAGACACATAGCATTAAGAAAAGAGTACCATCAATATATGAAGTATTTTTACCATGTCTGTTTCTGCAGATGTGTTCCAAATAAAACATACTTTGTTGTGCATTTTACAGAATTATAATTGCTCCAAATCTTAGTGTTTGGAAACAAAAATACATCTATAAAAACATACATAAAAAATAAATTCTAGGGGCAAAAGCCTGGACCTATATTATATACTGCCAATTTTACACTTAACCAATGTTGTTATACAAGAATTGTAAATTCACAAAATCAAGATGAAAGATGAATAACTTGCAAATTTTAGTAACTCTTTGCTTTATCTTGACTTTATCTTGAAAAACAGCTCTATAGCTAAATGGTATTAATTAGATTTGTATCTCCTCCTATCTTTGTTATAAAGATGTGAAAGATCCTCATTTTTTCTGAGCTCAAAATCAAACTAATTTTTAATGTTATTTTTTAAAAGATTTCCCTTGTTTACCAAACCTTTCACTAAGAGGCTTTTATCAAATTTTGCCAGTGAGATTTTGGAGTCTATCAACTTGATAAAACTCATATGTCTATTCACACCAGGACAGATATCAGAAATGATATATCAGAAATGATATCTGTCACAATTCTTTTGATTCACTGCAATTAAATCTGCAGGTTTTTTAGTCAGATGCAAGCGAACTGCTGGTAGAGTGAAATGAAATGTGGGTACAACTTTGCTACGTACACTTAGATATTTACTCAACCATACAATGGACTACATTTTATATGTAAATCTTAACAGATAATAGCAGAAAATACTAAAAACTTTACTGAAAATTATGCACTTATCTGACCTTTGACCCTGAGTTCAAGGTCACATTAACCAACTACCAATACACACCATACCTTCTGTGGGTGATGATGGAATTTATTCAAGTTTCATCAAGATATCATAAATACATATCGATCTCATGGAGCTGACATGGAATAAGAGAAAATCAAGCAATAATTTGACCTTTGATGATGATCACAGTAACCCAATCATGGTACATGTACTAGGTATAACTACTGTTGGTGATGCATTTACACACACACCGTATCAATGTTCATACAGATATTTCCCTTGTGTATAACACACAAATGTTTGTGTGGACTTTCCTTCGTGGTTAGAAGATTGTTTTGTGGTACAAACTTTCGTGGATATCTTTTATTAATAAATAGTAGACACGTATATCATTCCAATTTGTTGCGTTTATTTTCGTGGTTCAATAGCAACCACGAAAACCACAAATGTTTATACACAACGAACATTTCACATTATACAGTATATAAATTCCACAACAAATAAGAGTTCCACAGACTTATGTACTTTTGGTTTTCTACGAGAAGCAAGCAATGACAGTACCTTTAGGTAGCACTGGTAGGTGTTGAAGATCACAGTCTGTTCCCTGTTGAACCGCCTCATCATTTCCATACACAGGCGACTGATGGCTGGCTGGAAATAGGTCTGCTCAGCATCAACCATCACTCTCACCCCCTTCTCTGTCGCATACTGTAGGTCAACAAGGAAACACAATTTATAACCAACACCAATTTTTATAGAGTCATTGAAAGTTAGTAAGAAAGTATCTTGAAGATCCTGCTCAACTCAATCAAAAACCTCAATCAAACCTCTTATTAAGCTGCTTTCTTTTCAAAAAATAATTTTTGTGTTGTAATATATTGTTCTGTTGATGAATATTTTTTAAAACAGAGATATTGAAGTTAATTTTTACATACACTTGTATGCAAGTGAACATATTTTTTAGCATGACAATGATGTTTTCACCTTGAATACATGGCAAGGTTTTTTCACCTGAAAACAATTGCATGACAATTATATTTCACCTTGGAATTATTGCTATGTCAATCATGTTTTCACCTCGAAAACTTTGACATGGCAATGGTGTTCTCACCCGAAAAACAGTAACATAGCAATTGGTTTTGTACCTTGGCAATAGTATTGAGGCGTCCTAACATGTTTTTCATCTGTTCCTCTTCCTCTACAGATAGAGATGTCACTAAAGGCTCCAGTTGCCCTGTCTGTACAAACGTCCAAATTAATTAGACATGAAGTTCACACATATGTTGGTAAAAAGTAAACATATACTTTTGTTATAGATAAAACACATGACCATGGCTTATTGACTGAACACCAGTGTTTTGAAGAGACGATAAAGATCTCCTAAACTGAAAAATCTTCAAAGTTTGCGAATTCATTTAAGGCTTCCAACATAATATGAAATTGTTGCGATGCATTCTTGAACAACATGCATCAAATTCATAAAGGGGTATAACTCAAATAATTACTGTTTGATAACCGAGACTATAAAAGTAGTAAGATGTGAAAATAGACTCTCAGGGCTTTAAGCAGACTTGCATGGCCCTGTTATATTAAACAAACTACCATATAGCAGGATATTTCCAAGATTTTGCGATTTGATAACGTGATCGCAAAAATATGATAGGCCGTATAATAAGACAAGGGATAAAAATAAAATGATAAACTTCGCCATAATGTCATCTTTAAAAAGCGAGTGTGTGGTTGTAACAATTAATTTTTAAAGAGTATATCACACATGTACCGGCAAGTTTTGTCGATGATAACAAGATACACTTACTATTTGACACTCTATATGCTAGGTGTCCTGTCTCTTTGCTAAAAACTGTCACATGTCTAGATTATGAAATTGTATATATTTTTTTTAAATATTTTTGTCCAAATTGTGAAAACTTTAAGCCAGCGTAAATAACCCAGAAAGAAAAAAAAAATGATATAAAGAAGGTTAATTAAAAAGGGAGAAAGATTTGTGGCATTTATATAGCGCCCTATATAATTTGTAAAATTACTCTAAGGCGCTTTACAACATATGGATAATAGTAATAGTTATAATTGTGAAAACAAACAACAAAGGCTTGCAATCACTTTCATACATTTAACAAGCAATGTGCACATAATTGAACAAATAAAAGGGTGGTATTTACATGACGTCTTTGCAAAGATTCTAAAATGCAGACGTGAAGAGGTGAGTTTTTATGTCCCTCTTGAACTTGGCCAGGGTATTTGACTTCCTAATAGCAGATGGTAAGCTATTCCACAACGTAGCCGAAACCCTCCCAAAGCATCTGTTTCCGTAGGTCACAGTACGAGATTTTGGGACACACAACAAAGATTCTGACTCCGACCGCAGTGATCTTGACGGCTGATACAGGGTAACAAGTTCCTGTAGGTACTGAGGAGCTGTTCCATTCAGTGCCTTGTATGTGTATACCAGAATTTTGTACTGCGACCTGTATCGTACAGGTAACCAGTGCAACGAATAAAGCGCAGGTGTGATGTGCTCTCTCTTTCGAGTACGAGTAACTAGCCGTGCTGCAGTGTTCTGGACCCTCTGCAGACGACTAGTTAGTTTGTCAGATATACCACAGAGCAGGGCGTTACCATAATCCAACCGAGAGGTAACAAGTGAATGCACCAAAATCTTGCATGCATCTGCAGTTAGAAACTGCCGAATACAGCCGATGTTCCTGATCTGGTAGTAACAGGATTTGGCAATAGCGTTCACTTGTTTCTCCATGTTCAGAGAACTGTCAAAGTATACCCCTAGGTTTTTAACAGCTGGAACAGTCTCAATAGTTCTGGCACCAACCTTGAGCTGGAGAGCCATTGTTTGCTGACACTTTGGGGAAAAGACGATTAGTTCCGTCTTTTCCTGATTAAGTTTAAGCATGTTGGCGTTCATCCAGATACTGATATCTGTCAGACAAGCTTCCAGACTTTCTGAGACTGTATTCCAACTGTCCTGTGGTTTTATGACCATGTAAATTTGTGTGTCATCAGCATAGCAATGATAGCGAAGGCTATGGCGACGACAAATCTCTCCAATCGGTTTGGAGTACATACAATATTTTCGTGGTCCTAACACCGACCCTTGAGCAACCCCAAAATCTAGTACTTTGTCATGTGAGGTGGCAGATCCGATGGCAACACACTGTCGTCGTTCACTCAGGTATGACTGTATCCAGCATAGTGCGGTATCAGTCACTCCATAAGAGTGTTCCAGACGTTTATAAAGTATGCCATGGTCGATGGTTATATGCTTTAGGACTTTAGTTTCTGATAGTCAATTGGTTAAAATGCATTTTAAAAAGTAAAAGATGAGCTACAAGTTAATAATATTCAAATAAAGTTTGAAAAAATCAAACTATTTGAAGCACTTTTTTAAATATTCATTGATTCATTGCAGAAAGTCAAACAAAGTAAAAATATTGCCATTTCATCCCGACTCACCAGTGGCACTAAAATTGAAAAATGAAAATCCAAGTCTAAAAATATTCTAAAATAATAAGTATAATACAAGTTCTATTGAATAACTTGTGTTATTTAAGGAACAACCTTTATTTGGAACTACCTAGGCCAAATTGCACATTTACTGCATGAGTTACCTCCCCTGGCACAAGTAACAATCAAGTTACAGACCCCATCGACCTTTTGACCTGCACTAGAAGTGACCTTTTCAATACATATCTTGGCACGGTGAAAGTCAAAATAATATACAATATTTATATAGTGCCCTATATAATTTGTAAAATAAGCGTTTTACAACATATGGATAATAGTATTAAGTCTAATTGATAAACACAAAAGGCATACATTAATTATCATTATACCTTGAGTAAGAAGATAAGAAGATAATCATCTCAATATGCATATAATTGAATATATAAAGGGTGGTGTGTGCAGGGCGTCTGTGCAAGGAGCCTAAAATGCAGACATGAAGAGGCGGGTCTTTATATGAAGCATATGTACAAATAAATAATAAGGGTAAAAGTGCCAACAAAACTCTTACGAGGTAATTACAAATGAAGAACTTTTGGCTACAATAGATAAAACAACTTTAAGGATAAGACAACGTTTTAATTGCTTAAGTTTATACATTATAAAGACATTGATATCTTTTTTCTATGTTACTGTAAAACACAAGGATCCAATTTCAAAGTAGGACGGTTTCTTCATTGACTAAATGGATACCAGGACTTAGATAGATCAACAACCTTCATGAGACTGACAATTTAAAACGATATCTAAATCAGTGGTACATTCATAATTATCACTTAAAGCTGAAATCTAAACATACATGTACTGAGATTCAAAATGATTGCCTTAATATGATACATATATACAGGTAGTTTACAAATATATATATAAATGTCCATTATCATATACGAAATTGGAAATATCCAGAAAAGAGTGAAAAGGGAGCTGAAGGAAGTTACATAATTAATAATAATAATTGTAATAATTGGAGGTTCTTATATACAGCTAACCAACAACCTAGTTCGTAGGTCGTCTGAGACCAAAGCGGTTCACAAATTATTATCCGTGGTTATAGGGCCTTTGCAACCAGCCAACATCTTTCTGAACTCCCTGGGGAGCATATAGCCGGTGCTGCCACTTCAGAGCTCACAGCTAGCATTCTACAATTCTAGCACTACCTAACCATGTACTCATTTACAGCTGAGTAGACTGGAACAAGCGGAGTAAAGCATCTTGCTCAAAGATACAACACAGTGCCGTGGCGTGGCTCGAACCCGCAACCCTTCGGTCACGAGCCCAGCTTCCTACCACTAGACTACTTTGCCTCCTGTACATAATACATGTATATTCATCATTATTTACATGCATTTGAGCTGCAAAGCATAACCTGGTGTAATGTGTTTTTTTAATTTGTATGAAACAACCATTGTAAGTATACTGAGGAGATGTGATGGTGAGAAAAGAAAGGGACAGTGCCCATATTGTATATCAAACCGTTTTGCTGTATCTAAGAACAGCTTTTTCAAGATATCATCCAATTAGAATTAGGATTTGTTTTCTAAACAGGATTGGTAATTTCCAAGTATAAAAACTTAGTAAATACACATGGTATAAGTTTGCTGGGCACAACGACCTTCAGTCAAGGAAAATGCCATCATCAAGTTTCAAATACATGTTAACAGAGGGATTAATTGTCCAGCCAAGATCCTATCAACAGACAAGACAGACTGTGGGACAACATGATTCCAGTATGCCCATCTTCACCCTATAATTGTCCTTATTCCTCTGTCTGTGGTTGTAATTATTATTGTAGTTGAATGGGGTTATATTTTACAAAGTATTCAGATGAATTTTGAATTTTAGGCATTTTATAGTGACAGTATGCCATAAACTTCTTCTATAGAATATACATACAGTGACTAAATATATGTCAGTACATTGTTTGGTTATCAGATGTTATGTAGTAGAATGAGTAATTGTGATAAAGATAGTGCCGTCACTGGGGCTCGAACCCAACACCCTTGGCTCTCCAGCCCGATGCTCTACCGCTGAGCTAAAGGGAAATTCCCTACAGCTGCGGCTTGTAAGGCAACCTAATCAATGCCATTCTTTTACAGTTAAAGCATGGATATTGGTACAGACATTATTCTTTCATCACATTGATTCACAATGATAAAAGACACCTCACCTCCTCGTTTGGCACCACAAACACCTTGGACAAGCTCATGTTGACCTCCAACAGGTTGTCCCAGTCTAGTAAGTCCACCTCACTGCAACAGATAGCAACATGATTACCATACTCACCTCACATGTCACATGATCATAACTCTAAACTCATCTCAAGTATCACATAATCATCTTTATGGCTTGCCTTGAATATCACAAAAACAGCTCTTTTACAATACCTCAAATATCACATGATCATCTGTTTAAACTGAAATTGAGGAACACATGATGGAATGGTATTAAGATAACTTACTACATTTGTATACAAGCCATTCGGATTGATAGGTCTCCCCTGTGCCCTGCTTTGACCATCAATGCACATGTCAAGTTTGGTTGGGGTAGCACTTATAGTTTCAGAGAAGCTAGCTTAAACGCAAAAACTTAATGTTGATGGAGATGCTGACAAAGTCAATGGACCATGAAAGGTAGGCCGCATCCAGCATTTGATGCATGGGTGAGATGTACTACCCAAAATACATCTATGGTCCAAGTTTGGTTGGTGTTCAGAGAAACTAGCTTAAACGCAAAATCTTAATGTTGATGTAGATGCTGACAAAGTCAATGGACCATGTAAGGTAGCCCGCATCCAGCATTTGATGCATGGGTGAGATGTACTACCCAAAATACATCTATGGTTCAAGTTTGGTTGGTGTTCAGAGAAACTAGCTTAAACGCAAAATCTTAATGTTGATGTAGATGCTGACAAAGTCAATGGACCTTGAAAGGTAG